AATATATTATGATTATTTTATTTATTAAAATATATTATAAGGCAGTGGTAGCCCAGTGGTAACGCGCTCGCTTGGGAAACCGAGTGAAGCGGGTTCAAATGCTGGGCTCGCACCTCTGATATTTTCATGTGCGAATCATTTCCAACATGATTGTATTGTTGAACTTGTCTTAACGGTGAAGGAAAACATCGATCACCAAAAATTTGCTGCATGCAAATTTTAAGTAAAAAACCTCTAGTGCGGAGATTTTTTGCTATAACAACCCTAAATCATTAAATTTCTAATAAAATTATCTACATTTTGACACTTAGTTCCGAAAAATACGATCCAATACGAGTACTTAATTAACTACTTCAAATTTCAATTTGCTTGTTTAAACCTGGATGTCAGGTAATGTGGATTTGAATAAGGCCACCAACAACGCCATCGTATGATGCCATTTTGTACTAGTCTTTTACTTTCGATTGATACTAAATTGTCACAGGAAAAGAGCTCTTGTACTTTATAAAAAGAAACAGTTTAAAATAGCCTAAAGCAAATCTTTGCTGACAGCCCTCCAGGATAGTGTTGGTTAATATGTTTTATTGTTTAAAGAATATATTTTGCCTGGAAAAAGACTGAGAGGTCCACCACATAGATTGGGATCTCGTACTATATAGGTTCCTAAAAAAAATCTGTTCACGTTAATGAGATGAATTCTTAGAGATTTGACTGAGTGTAACGTAATTAGAAGACGTCAAATTTAATTATTTATATCTAAAAATTCACAACCGCTAAGGTAATCTGAAGATTACCTGACAATTTCATCAAAATCGCTCCAGCTGTTTTAGAGTCCATAGGAAACATACATACACACATCGATTTTTATTTTATTTATAGAACAATTTCAATTTATTTATTGCTCGGAAAATGGAGTCTTTTATGAAAATTTAGTGACACACCGACTGCAGCGCCACCTATCGGATTTATTTGTTAATTGAAACCTTGCAGGGATCCACTCAAACATACACAAAAATTGTCATTAAAATTGTCCCTGCCGTTTAGGAGATGATAGTGGCACACTGACTGCAGCGCCACCTACTGGGTTCATTTGTGTTTTCGAACTTTGCATGGATCCACTCAAACATACACAAAAAATATAATTAAAAACGTCCCTGCCGACTAGGAGATGATCAGTGGCACACTGACTGCAGCGCCACCTACTGAGTCCATTTGTATTTTATACCATCCAGAACCCATTGAAACATACACACAAAATTTCATCTAAATCGGTCCAGTTCCTTAGGAGGAGTAGGTAGGTTAACAAGCACACAGAAGAATTATATATATTAAGATTTGCAGAGGAAATGGAGGAAAAGTACCTTAAATAGTGAAAAAATCGAGTTTCACTCAAAGGAAACTGCCCTTACTTTTTTTAAAATAAGATTGATTGCGTTTAAACTTTTTTTTAAAAACCTGACCTATACTCGGCGCGGCGAACCTTGATCCCTATGACACTGACAGCTAATGTCACCATATAACATTGTAGTGGCGTCACCATTAAATTGGGATCATATTGGGGGCGTCTAAAAATGCCATTTATAAATTTTACGTAGCTTTATACCATTAGTAATGATATTCCGTTGATATTTTTAACAATTCTTAACATTTACAAGAAGTTATCTCAATCTGAATTTATGTTTACGTCCTGCAAAACTTACGTCGTGTGACGTTTATCGACTAGGGCGGCAAGTATCGATAAAAAAATGTCGGTAATGGAAACGAATGCACATTTTTTTTCATACTCACATTTTAATTCATATATTATGGAATGAAACAGAATATTACGATCATACCATTCATACATACATGATTATATTATACCCAAGAAAATTAAAAAATAACAGCTATGGGACAAAAGGAAATGAAACAAAATCTGTTTAATAATTATTTATTTACATACACAGGATCAAGGGTGTAACAAAAGTAAGTGATAATACTTTAGGGTTATATAGTTTACAGTGAAAGTACTCAGCGCTGAAAGCGAAAATTTTTTTTTTGTGATTTGTATGGGCAAGCGCCACATGAGCAAATTATCGACACGACCAAAGACACGACCCATCACTAACACGAACTGTCATAGGGAACAAGGTTCGCCGCGCCGAGTATAGTAAGTCATCGAACCACCAAAAAAACTCGTTCGTTCGTTTGCTTGTATAGTTTATTAGTTTATATATATTTTAATTTGATGATAATATCAAAATTAACTATTTAGACTAAGTAATATTATAATGAATTATGTTTTGTCATTTATCTCATACATATTATTACCAGCTTGGATAGGAGATGGAACGAAATGTGGACATTTGGAAGAGATATTTTTATTGCTTACTAGCATTGCCCGCGGCTCCGCCCGCGTTCAGATGACCAAAAACTAAATTCTTAGGTGTTACATATTAGTATACTCTTACATTGCAGTTTTTGTATTTTTCCTCAGAAATAAGATATTTTCCCGCGGTAAAAAGTATCCTAGGATCGCGCGCTACATCGCCCGGTTTATATAGCTTGAGCAGGCGGTCGAGCGATGCGGGGCAGAGGGGATGGACTCGCCGTAGGCATCTCAATGCTCGCCAAGCATTAAAAATGTTTCGCTACTAATTACTTCTAACAACGATATCTCAAAAACTATTCATCTGATTGATTTAGTGTAAAGAGCAATTTTAATCTGCATTAAATGACTAAGCTAACTAAAATATTCATTTGGATAAGGATTAATACCGAACTAAAGAAAATAACTTTGAAAATAACGTAATGTTTTTAATTAAAAATGTTAACATAAAAGTGGTTATTGTAAGTCAACCGTAAGAGATAGAGATATGCTATCGCGGACTTTTTTGTAGCATTTTTATAGATTTTGAATTCTCTAGTACATTACTTAACTGTATCTTTGCTAGTTTACGCGGCGTTCGCGTGGAAAGTTCCCATTTGGCGAGATTTTTTGCGACCTCTTCAACATTTGTCGCCGTATTTCAGCTAATTTACATAAAAGCATAATAAATTATATACCTAAACCTTCCTCAAGAATTACTCTTTCTATTGTTGAAAACCGTATAAAAATCCGTTCAGTAGTTTTCGAGTTTATCGCGTACAGACAGACAGGAGGACAGACAGGAGGACAGAAAGACGCGGCCGGGGGACTTATTTTTATAATAAGTATAGATGGAAATTCGGTAATTACATGTTCACGTCCCAACATGCTTTTTATCGGCCATTTAATTGTCTTGTGTCAGTCGGCTTAACGTACGTCGTTTATTCGCAATCGTTAATTGTGTTGACGGGCCACCTATAGTTTTAGTTTTAATGGTCCACTAATAGTTTAGATGATGATGTGCTACCAATAATTCTGATATTGTTGAGTCACGAATCTTTTATTTGTTACTTCGAGTCTCTTATTATATAAAAAACAAAAAAATAATGAAATAATATTAGTCCCCCTGAGTTTCTTTCGCCAGTTCTTCTCAGGTCTGAGGCTTCTTCTTTCCGAACTGGTAGTAGACTGATGACGCTCAGAAAAAAAATTATGTATAATAATTTAATGCTGAATAAAATATTTTGAATTTTAAAATTTTTGAAATACCAGTACCTATTAAGTTTAGATCTGAAAATAGAGAAGACTTGAAATAATTAAACTTTTGGCTCATCGTTTGAGGGGTCACAAATACTCGTCAGGATGTACGAACTGATAAACTGGCTTACACGGAGCCGTAAAATTATACATCATAATATCATATACATAAATTAGAAATCATGAATAATAATATTTTGATTAAAAGTCATTAACCGTTGGAAGGGCCAGTTTTTGGACAAACATTCTTTACGAACGAAAAGATAAGTGATAATCCGTTTTCCTGTGATTAGTTAAATAGTAGTAAATATAAAGTGATCTTTAAAATTACATTTATATGTGTTATATTAGATAAAAGGCTGCTTCAACTGCCTCGGTGGTGTAGTGGCTAGCATTTAGGGCTGCACACTCGGAGGTCCTGGGTTCGAGTCCCGGGTCGGGCTAAGTTTAGTTATTGAGTCTTTCTATATAGTAAGTCTCAGCAACAGCGTTGGGAAGTTGGCGGTGTTCACCCCCGTGCCTCGGAGAGCACGTAAAGCCGTCGGTCCTGCGCCTTAACTCTCACTGGTCGTGTCGAGCAGTCGTCCCACCGGAGTATGAGAGTGACAGGAATAGAGAGTGCACTTGTGTCTGCGCGTACAATTCTGCATTATAGTATATAGACTTATAGTTTTGCCGGAAATCGAGATAAACCGTTTTTTTTACCCTTAAAAATTCATCACCTTCCACTTTCCGACCTCAAATTTTTGTTATATTCTCTTTCTTTTCCAATGGGTTTCATCCTACTATTATCTTTTTTTAATTTTTCAGCCCTGGTCTATATGTCACCGCGGAGATTATTCGCCTGGTTAATCCATAAATCTATACAGATAAATAAAATCGAAGTGTCTGTTTGTTATTACAAAATAACAGCTTTTTACTAAATGCATATAAAACTATATATGGTACTTATAAGTAAAACACATTTTTTTTTAAATCTGTCTGTTTATCTGTTTGTTCTGGCTAATCTCCGAAACGGCTGGACTGATTTTGACGGGACTTTCACTGGCATATAGCTGATGTTATAAGGAGTAATTTAGGCTACTTTTATTTTAGAATAAGAATTAGGGTCCCGTTCAAAAAAATGAAAACGTACCTATAGACCTTTGTGTAAGATATAGGTAATGCATTATAAATGTAGGTAATAGGGCGGTATTTTTCACGTTGCCCCAAGGCGGCATTTAAGGTAAATCCGGTCCTGGTTAGCGATCGTGAGTTCAATCCTCAAGTGGACAGATGTTTATTTTCAACGGTCTGCTTTTAAATATTATATTAATAAAACAAATACAAAAGATAATTTTCAGCAATAATTTAATATCTTGGCACATCATCTTATGGATGGTCTTTCTTGTGTCTAAGCTTCTTTCTTTTTCTTATTGGAGCCCATGAATATCTTAAGTAATTCATTGCAAGGGGCCTCCACGAAGAGATACAACACCAGCGCTAGCATATGGGCCCAGAACATAACTAATAGGTAGACGTAGAACTGAAACAAAAGCAAAACAATCAATATCAATTATAATAATAATGTCCTCCCGACCGATTTCGGCCACGGCGGCCTATCTCAGTGATACTAGTTGACTAGAGTGATGTTAGTCGAGTCAGTGTGCTTGCAGACATAACGTGCACTCTCTATTTCTGTCACTCTTAAAGTCCGATGGGATGATACTTCAGTAAGGAGCAGTTCCGACTCTACACGTGCTCTCCGAGACACGGTGATGAAAGAGAGCCAGACCTATCAATTCCTACCACACGCCACGTTAAGGAGCTTCATTGCAAAGTATACACGCAAGCGTCCCTTACATATATTCCTTTATATATTAGCAGTATTTACATCTCTTGTGTTGATAAGATAATGTAAGATAGTAAAACACATCCCACTAACTGTTAAAATTTTAAAATGTTTAAGTCTTACCAGTTCTGAGAAGGATGCCGTATATAGCTGGGACCTCGTGCCCATCATATAGTGCAATATATTATCATGTATCAGATAGACGCAGAACGAGAGCTTGCTTGGTATCAGCCATCCTCGCCATTCCCATATAGATAGGGAGTTTCCTGGGAATAGCAGTTTAAAGTTTTTGTTAGAGTATTAGAGAGTTAGTCTAGTCTGTCCGTATATCACAACTACTAGTATATTACACAGAAACTAATTATACTAAAACCCACGACGGAAAATTGTTATATGAAAAAAACTTCCATTAAATTTTTTTATATAATGTCATAAGGTGTAACTCAAGGTACAACTCAACTGATTCTCCCCGTATTACTGGGTCTCTCAGGATCGCTTAAGCACTTAACTACGGCGGCCCGACAGGGAAAGTTACCGTATCTATATCTATGTTTTTAAATAATCAATCAAAATCATACCATGAAATTTCATCGTGAGTCCAAGAACCCAAACGATTGCAATTACCCCGATAACGATTCGATGTAAAGATGCGTACAGAAGGCGCCATGTGAGGGATTTTCTTTCAATATCATCGTAGACGGAGCTTGAGAAATAGTAGAAAGCATATATCGATGGCATGATAAGCCAACACATTAGAGTACCGATCTGTAATACCAAAAATATTGTCATCAATACATATGTATATACATGATGTACTCCTGACCGATTTCATCAACGGCAGCAATCTCACTGAGACTAGCCAAATGTTTATTTATACAAGTGTTTATTCTTATCACTTTTATACTCCAACTGGACGACAATTCGATACGACCAGAGAGAGATCATGCTTAGTCTCAGGCACGAGGGTGAAACACCGCCAACTTCCTAACTCCAGGCTGTTACTGACTTATATGAGACTAGCAGCTTGCCTCAATTTGTCTGAGCTATATATTTTTTTAATTTGACACCCGAAAAATTTTAAAACCTTTTTAGGGGCTAAATTCAAAAAATATTTTATGAGAATATTTTTATACAATGTTACCGATAATGAAACATACGATAATTTTTGAGTCGTACAAAATTTTCTGAATTCTCTCTATTAATCTAAATTACAAGTTTAAAAGTAAGCTCAAATACCAATCAGTTGCCTACCTTAAAATCAAGACGTTCTATTTTATTCTGTTTTAAGTAGTAGACAAAATATCCAATCGCCATTCCCATAACGAAGCAAGTTATATTGTTGTGAAAGAACACGTGGTATTTCCGGAAGGTATCATCGTATAATGATCTGAATAGTCTAATAAATATACAAACATGCATAAGGGTACAAAGGATTTCTTAAAAATTTCGTGAAAATTAAAATAAATTGTACAATAATATTGAATAGTTTAAAAAAACACACTTGTATAGGATCACAACAATTTACCGAAGTGGTGATTTAAACTTGAATATTAAACAAAATACTTAAAAAAATATTATTTAAGTTTACAGATAAAGTTTCGCGGAAAAGGTGGTAACAGGTTAATAATTCAATTACATACTCGGGCTTGCCTACAACAAGTCCATTCAAATCTTGGAAATATACATGGACGATAGGACTGAGTATGCCAAGCAGCAACAGAAAGGACAAAGTTCCAATCTTGAACCTCAAGCTTCGTCGACGAATACAGAAGTAGACGATAATACCAAGGACTGACAACTGCATATCTGAGGCAATATGCCTGTAAAGGAGAAAAAGTATCGTTAAAAATATAGGTGTCATGCCACGACTAAAAATAATCAAACTTCGACAAAGATCTCCTAGCGCCATAATTTCTTATTATTTTCTGAACTTTTAGCAATTTTTTGAAATATAAAACAACATTTTTGTTGGTAACACTGCAGATATTAATACATACCAAGACTCTAAAGAGCATAAAATGTCATTAATCATAAAGTTATTGATATAAAAGATATGAGCCCAATAATATTCTCGGCATTGCGACGTAACTCCTTCAATTATGTAAGACTTCCATATAGGTCCGGATCCGACGTGCCGGAACAAAGTGGCCATAATTCCTATTACAACTGCAAATGACGGAGTCATTCTAAAATAATAATAAAAAAAATTAAAAGTTAAAACATAGACCCTAATACATAAATCCCATTGTGTTATCTAATAAAAATAGTTTTTTTTTCTTTTGGTTTTTTAGTATTTCTTAAGGATTTGTAGGTTTATTTATTTGGAAACTCTTTTCAGAATGCTAGTTCTCAAAGCCCCCAATGTATGTATTTGACTTGATTAGAATTGTAATCGAACCACGTACTGTTTTATAAGTTATGTAAGCTATGTGCTTTTATTTTGAGCTAACTAAAACTCTTGATTTACAACTTGAGATGAAAGAGGTGGCGAGATAGGAAGAAGAACGTAGAGGATAGAAAGAGTATAGGTTGCACTGCAACAGTGCGTCTACTGGCTCATTCACGCTAACAACAACAAGATTGTGAGTATATCCTACTTCATTTAAAATTATTTATTAAATAAGTGCACACATGCTCGTACAGCTTAATCAATATCTAAATCAACTTAACGACACGTTTGGCTCAGTTTGTAGTGATCCTACTTGCTGTGCCAGCGGTCGCGCATTCGAGTCCCGCTGGGGGCATTCATTTGTTTGATGAGCACGAATGTTCGTACTCAGTCATGGGTGTTTATATTTATAATATGTATGTATCTAAAGTTATATTGTGTATAATGTATCAACTATCTGGTATCCATAACACAAGCTTACCATGGAACTAGATGGTGCTGTGTGAATCTCCCAACATAAATATTTATTTATTATTTATTTGTTATATCTTTGAACCTACTAAAATCTACACTAATTGGTATAAAATGTAGTTATGCTTTAATCCTATAATCAGCAATCCAATCTTACGATCAGCAGGTATTAAGAAATCCATGTTCAAATGACACTGACAATGAACAGACTACATATATAAGTTATAACTAGCGCCTCGCCCTTGCTTCGCTCGGTTTCGTCCCTAGTTACGTTTTAACGTTAAGTAAATATTTCTCAGAGATGAGATATTTTCCCGCATTAAAAAGTATCCTCATGTTGACCCAGATAACCAGCTATCATCATACCAGATTTCATCAGAATCTGACCAGTGGTTTTCTCGTGACGCGATCACAGATAGACAGACAGACAGACCAAAAATTCTAAAAACTATAGGTTCAGCCTCTGTATTGATAATAATTATGACTATTTCAATAAGATTTTCCAAAAAGTATTTAATGTACAGATTCGATTTACTCGTAGTTAGGATTTTATTATATGTATAGATTATTGTTTTAGCTTCTATCACGCCCTAATCATATCCCAAAATATAATTGATAAAAAATATCACAACTCCACTCTACTACAATTTCGTCATACTTATGTATTTATATTGTATATACATCCATACTAATATTATATGTAAATGTGAAAGTGTGTTTGTTTGTGTGTTTGTCCTTCTATCACGTCAAACGGAGTGACGGATTGGCGTGATGTTTTGTATGGAAAAAGTTAGAGGGCCGGAGAGTGACATAGGCTACTTTTTACCGCGGGAGATGATCTCCTTGCCACGGGAAAACATGTTATAATATAACCCAAAAAATTATTTATGATCAGAATTACTTGAAACTTGGTATTAATGCTCTTCAATACAATTAAATATGTTTTTTAGCATTTTTCGAAATTCATTCCATAAGGGGGTAAAATATTGAATGAAAGTTTGTATGAAATCTACCTTTTATTTTTTTAGAGCGAGCAAAGCCGCGAGTTCTGCTAGTATAATATATATTCACAGTTTATAAAAACAACATCTTACCTCCACCATCTGAAAAATATAGATGGGGGTACATCTCTAAAGGACATTTTGTGTTTTTCTTCTCGTATTTGTAAGATGTACGTCATGAGGAAGCCAGAGAGGAAGAAGAAGAATTGCACAATGCTCGAGTAGCCAACGAGGATTAAGAAGAATTGATACTCGAAGAACTAGAACATAATAAAAAATAAATCAATTATTTTGCATTATTATGAAAAACGAAATATTAAAATTAAAAGTATGTCGTGCCTGAGTTACAGTAACTAAAACTAAAAAGTACTGTAAATCAGGAACAGCATGAGGTGATTATATAAATAACGCACGATTTCACAAAATGTAAACTCTGGCGTTAATCTTGTAATCATGTATTTTATTAAAAAAAAAGCATTATTATATTTTTAAATCTAGTCCACTTCTCGAAGGAGACATCGTAATCTATACGTATAATAAAATTGTAACTAAGCCGAAACTGTACATTAAATATTTTTTGTAAAATCTTATTGAAAGAGACATTATTGTCGATACAGAGGCCGAATCTATAGTTTTTAGAATTTTTGTCTGTCTGTTACCGCATCACAGAAAAACCACTGGAGGGATTTTGATGAAATTTGGTATGGTGATATCTAGTTATTCGGGTTAACATATAGGATACTTTTTACCGCGGGAAAATATCTCATTTTTGAGAAAAAATACAAGAACTGCAATGTAAGAGTATAATAATATGTAAAACCTAAGAATTTGGTTTATGGTCATCTGAACGCGGGCGGAGCCGCGGGTAATGCTAATTTAATATACATACGTACATATTCTAAATGATGTCTATTACAGAGGTCAATTTAGAGAAGCATACCAGAGCATGTAAGAAAATCATGTTTATGTAATATGTATTATAAGTATTTTGTACTATACCTTTTCTAAAGCGAGAGGGTCGCGGATATATTTTCCAAACAAGAATACACAATGGGCGAACACTACCAGACCTGAGTTAAATGCACTGAAAAATGATTAACATAGGTTAACCAAATTAATTTCCTTCAAACATAATTCATAAGTAATTTATGTCAAAATTCACGAAAAATATATTTTACGTGCAATTATTTTCTAATAAATAAAATATATTAAAAACATTACTCCCGGTCCATAAAACTTTATAGGTTTCCCGATAGCGAATTGTGTTTTTTTTTTCAGAACATTTTATTTGTAACTACGCACCATAACCTCACATGAGGTCACCAGCAGCCTTTTTAAACGATAAAATAAAGGATAAACGAGATACATTACATTTGCTGAGACAGTAATTTTAAAATGTAAATAATAATTACTCCACCTTTGTTAGGTCCTCCTAGAGTATACATAAGCTAGGTATACTCTAAGGTTATGTCACTTTAATTTTTTTTTTCATGTATATCGACATTAATGATATATAATATGTATATATGTATTATGTACCTATAATACTATCAAGATACAGCGTGTTTTATTTTAAAGGATTATGGTTTTAGTTAGAAAAAGTTTTTACCGTATTCCGTGAAGTCCTTTCAATTCTGTTAGTCTCTCATCACCTTTATCTTCTTGCAACAGTTTTTCGAAATTTCGAAAAAGTGAAAAGCATAGAAGTGGGTGGCGATCTGGAATATAGTGACACGCTCAGTGTGATTGTTATAAGAGCAAATAATAAAGGTTTGTATCGGACACACGCTAAGACAAGTTGGTAGATAGTATGTATAGGTATATATAATGTAGTCAAACCTTCGGTGTTTCACTCGTAACTAGTATTTAACCGATTTTACTGTAATATTTTTTAGTTCGTCAATATCATATTTTACTTAACGTTCAATAAAAGTTTACAATACCGTTATAGATAAGTTAGGCAGTGGAAGCTCCTGGTGACGCTTTGGTTTGGGAAACCGAGTGAAGTGGGTTAAAATCCCGAGTCTCGCACTTCTGATATTTTCATGTGTAAATCATTCCCAAAATGATTATCACTTTTCTTACGGTGAAGGAAAACATCACGAGGAACCTAGCAAATTTTCGAGGACAGATGCATTCCGCCAACCCGCACTTGACCACCGTGGTGGACTATGACCTGATCCCCTTTACTGAGCAATGGGGCATTAAAAAGGGCTGCATATAAGATAAAAATCCAAATTACGAAATTATACCTTTTTCCAATATCTTGTCTGTTTTTCGTGCCTGACAAAAGTCGAAATAGCTGCCCCATGCAACTATTGCACAAATGCCTCCTATTACCAAAAGCATTATAATATCTGTACTATCAAGTTGAATTTCTGTTCTTTTGTCTTTTTGTCTTTCACAACTTACAAATTGTAATTTTGAGCCCAAATCATATTTTTGTTGTAACGTTTCATTAAAACATCCCTCAATGATCAATTCTACGTTTTGATCTATATCGAGGCCATTGTTTTTTATATAGTCCTGACATGTTTCCTGCACACATATACCCCTGTCCAGCCTCGTATAGTTGAAATGTTTGAGAGTGTGCTTTGAATATTCCTGAAAATAAAGTCAATACGTTTAAAACTAGCCTTTCCTCGTCCCGATGAGAAGATTTTCTTTCTTTCTTAAGCAGAACTTCTATCTATTGATATGCTCAGAATAAAAAAAAAACATTAAATTAAAGTTACATTTTTAATCTCCAGAATATATATAAATATAAGTCTAAGCGTGTAAAGAATCAATCCGAAATCGTCTAACTATTTACGCGTTTTTGAGTCACTAACAAAAGTCGGAACGTCCGCACCATCACCCTCTATTCACAAAGTTATGTAAGAAAGATAGGTTTGTAAGAAGTTAATAAATAACATTATGAAGATTTATAGAACAGAATTGAGAACAAAAACATGATACGAAAGAACATGTACTTTATTGGATCCTCCAAAACCGGAGTTAAATTCAACATTATAAAGTTACACGAAGAAAATTTTAGAACGCATTATAGAACATTTTTGCGTTCTTCAGTTTCGTGTTACAATTACAAAATTAAGGGCAAAACTATAATGAAATCTCTCGCAAGAGTCCTGTTATAGATATAATTTCCAATACAATGTAAAAGTAAACAAAAAATTAAAGATATTACGTAGGGTTTAAATTTTAAACTTTAATTTATAGTAGTATACATAAAAGAAATTGGTTAATGTTATTTAAGTATTTACGTTTGTTTATGTACTGTAGTTGGTACGTCTTAATCAATAAATATAAAACAAACATTATATATACAGTATTTATAGCTAATCTTAGAGGGAAAGTAAATATTTGAGGGAGAAATAAAAAATATACTGGAAACAAAACGAAAATATTTGAACTAGATTTTATAATTGGTTTTGAACTCACTTGTATAAGAGTATAGATTTCATTATTGGGTTCCCCATACAGGTCGAAGGCGACCATGCAGTAGACGCCGGAGTTTTCCATGCAGCTCCCATAGTCGTCGAGTCCGAACAGAGGAGGCAATTTTTTGTGTTCTGTGTCTGCAAAAAAAAAATTAAGCACATAAGGTGAATTTAAACCTAATTAATTATTATCTGGGATTTTATTCATAAATATAATACTTTGATGTTGGTAGTTCTGTCTGGGATTATTTCTTTTTGTATCTATTATGAGAATATTTTTTTTTTGAACGCGTTAAAGTCAGGCCACACTGTCGTGCCGATCACAGTCCGTTCTTGGTCCTATATTGGTCTGGTAAAGTATTTTGCGTTTAAAATACTTTACCAGGCACTACTGTAGGGGTCGGGCCTGTATATATTAAGGCTAGATTATAACGCTTTTAAGAGAGGAGCGATAATTACAAGCATATAGCGATAATTACCTACATAATCACATTATGTACTACACGAGGTGAACTACGGGAAAAAGCTAATAAATATCACACTATCCCTATAAATGCGAAAGTTTGAAAGTTTGTATGAATATATTTAATATATATAAATTAATATATATACATTTTTAGTGTCATTTTATGGTATTTTATTGTTGGGTAATGCAGCAGACATTAAATCTATATTTAATCTTCAAATAGAGCTATTCGGGCAATTTATAACATTGGAGCTCGGGATACTCTACATGAACTTTAAAAATAAATAAATATATTATAAAAATAAAAAACCCGACTGCATAAAAGCTAACTTAAAGATGAAAACAAGTTCACGAAGGAATATAGTCTCGGAATAGTCAATAGGAATATTGTGTCTATCTCCTAAGATTCACTCACAATAACTATTTTTGTCTATTTATAACATACCTAAGCTAGTAAAAAATAAAATAAATGTACAAAAATAGACTTTAATCACTGTAAAAAAAATCGATATATTACACCACAAAGAAAGTAATCAATAACATAATAATTAATTATAACACATTACATTTTATATGATAATCTAAATCTAAATTCTATTCTGACCTGGACAAGAAGAAAATAATTTTATCAAAAATTTTGAATTTTGCGGAACCTGCAGCATAAATTTTGACAAAAATTTGAATTATAATTACTTTATGTTTAAGTCCTTATTTCTTGCACTTTTTCCCACGAGAAGAAAAGGGTTCCCCTGGAAAGGGCACCTTGCCAGTTTGCCTTGCCTTTGCCAGTTTTATGAAAATCCTATTCTTAGGTGGAAACTACTGCATCGATTTTCATATAACTAAGCAATTATTACTTATTCGTGAAGTCATTATTCAATGTAACTTCGATTCCAGAAATGAAAGGGTTTTTAAGGAAAGGACATATGTTAATATTATAAAAAAATAATTACGTGTTTAGATTTGCATTGACGTAGTTATTACAAGCACATTTGAATATTTAGTAAATAGATTTTAATTTAGAATAATAAAATGACGATAAAAAGATTTCTCACGGGACAGAATTGTTAATTTTTTTTTAGTTTAAAGATAATTTTTTTTCCATAAAAAAACACATTCCATGTAAGGAAACATTTGAGATGGTGTCGATCGTGCTAAATTACAGTCGTCATTTATTTACTCATTTTATATATTTAAGTTATCTTTATTTTACTCATTTTTGACGACACGTTTGGCTCTGTTTGTAGTACTTCCTGTGATAGAGGTCGCGGGTTAAGTCCCGCTGGGGGGATTTATTTGCGTGATGAGCGCGAATGTTTCTACTCCAGTCATAGATGTTTATATTTATAATATGTATATGTATGTATTTAAAGTTATATATGTGTAGTGTATCAACTATCTGGTATCCATAACACTAGATGATGCTGTGTGTCAATGTCCCAACATATTTATTTATTCATTTGCCCCAGCATATTATTTTTAAGTTTACTATTTAAGGAATATATTGCACGGCTTTTTAATGTCTGCTAGAATTATTAAGAGTAAGTATTAATTTCTCGCACCTCTGATATTTTCATGTGGGAATCATTTCCAACATGATTATCACTTGTCTTAACGGTGAGGGAAATCATCTTGAGGAAACCTGCATGTCTGAGACCTGAAACCTAGCAAGTTGGACCCCAGCGTGGTGGACTATGGCCTGATTGGCCTTGATGGCATCGTATTGAAGGGAGGCCCGTGCCCAGCTGTGGGACGTTAAAAAGGGCTGAATGTATGTAACATCAGTGTATTACTCATTTCACATATGCATTGTGACCCTTTATATAACTAATATGTAAACTATTTTAAACGCGCTTCCTTCTTCAATATATCGGAATCGGAATACTATAACTACGTAGGTAAACGTTGACGTACATAATATGTAGATAGACAAAGTCTAACTTGGAGTAATACTGTTAGGCACCTAGGGTCGCACCCGAGTGAAAGCGAGAGTAAGTCGCCAGTAGACTATAAAATGCAAAAAAATATTTCAAGTCCGACAAAAATTAACACTTGCAGAGAAACTCTTCAGCTTTAATACTTTCTTAGGTTTACGCGAATGTCTTTTCGGATTTTTTCACGGATTTATTTTAATTTTTGCTCTTCAGCTTTATCTATCTATCTATCTATACATATAATAAAATTCTGAATCGAATCATTTTTTGGAAAATCTTATTGAAATAGTCATTATTATCGATACAGAGGCCGAATCTATAGTTTTTAGATTTTTTGTCTGTATGTCTGTCTGAGAACGCATCACGAGAAAACCACTGAACAGATTTTATGGTCAACAGATAAGATACTTTTCACTAGGAGAAAATATCTCATCTCTGAGAAATCTATACTAACCGTTAAAACGTGCCTAGGGATTTATCCCGAGCAGAGCGAATTGAATGGTTGAATCGCTAGTATAATATAAAATTAATAAAAATATAAGCTATCTAGCATCAGGCAACAGCTTTTAGAAACGTAGTAATTAAATATTTAAATAAACTACGCTAGTGGAGCCACGGGCAATAGTAAGTCAGTTCAGATTTTAGTAATCCTTCTCCACATTAACTTTAACTATGCCAAAGCTCCTACTCCTCCGCATTCCTTATACTTAAAAAAGTTTCTTCTTTACGTATTTAATCTATACTAATATTATAAAGGGGCAGAATTTGTTTGTTTGAACGCGCTAATCTCAGGAACAACTAATCCGATTTAAAAATTATTTCTGCATTAGATAGACCGTTTATTCAGGAAGGCTATATAGGCTATATATCATCCCGGAATAATGTACGGTTCCCGTGGGATAATTTGTTTTTGTCTAGGGACGAACCCAAAGCGAAGCGAGGGCGAGTCGCTAGTATATAGATAAAAACAGACTAGTCTTAATTCGAATTTAGTTGTTTAACTTCACCCCCACCATGTATATATGTAGACTTCATGATTTTTAGAAAAGTGTATTTTATATAAGAAACTTACCATTTAGATGGTATATAACTCCTAAGCTGTAGCCAAACACATTAAATAATAATAAAATATATAAGTGAACAAACATTCTGACAGCTCCTCTAGGTCTACCGTTTGACTACACTACTGTGCTCAAGAATAAATTCTTGTGATATTTATAGGCTTTAAAATACATAAGATTGTATTAATTTGAGTTTCTAGTATATATTTTTTTTTAACAAAAGAATAATTCCCAGGCTAATTAATGTCTTTATCGCGCGGAAAACTACATTAATATATGTATCGTGTACCTATACCTCTGGCGACTTACCTCACATCGCTCGCGTGCGTCCCTAACTGACTGACAGTAGCCTGAGACAGTTTTCCTCCCGGTCATAGTATATCTATTATCTGTGTACAGTGTACTCATCCAAATCCGACTAGCTGTTTCAGCTAGAAGGAGTAATAAACACACGCACAAACAAACTTACGCCATATCACCTCCAGGTAAATTTCTAAGAAATTATTTAAATTTCTAAGAAATCTATTATTAACTGTAACGCCGGTGTGTCCGCGGTCGTTGAGGGATTAAGTAGTAGTATAGTCTCTTACCCTAGCTTCACTCGGGTTTAAAAATAAACAATATAATATATATCTACACACAAACATACATTCATATTTTATAGTAGCTGTAATATTCGGTTCGATAAATTCTAAATAATCTATCTCGTGGCCCATTATTGTGTAGGGTCCTGCATCACATAACTTCTCGGGTAAATTACTCGGTGGTCTACTGGCGGCTGCAGATCCGGAGGTCCTGGGTACGAGTCTCGGGTGGGGCCAAATATAGTTATATCGTTAAAATAAATATGATGTCGTCAAAGTTTATGTCGTCCCAACGGTGTGAACCACTTTTGTGCGGGAACTTGAGTACTAAAACACCTCCTTCGCACATGGCTAACCTCAGATTGGAAGCCGTGGCCGAAAGTCAGGTCAGTCAGGAGGGCATAATTATAATAGGTACGTTATTTTTTAAGTCTATAAACAAACTTAATTCTCATTTCCATTTTCCATTTCCAAGCCACACCTTATATACAGCCGAGATAATAATAAATAAATAGAAATTCTATACCGAAGTTTTAGTGTTACCGGATTTTGTACCGAAGTATCGTGTTAGGACCTTGTTACCAAGCACGTGAGACTCAACACTCAATATTCATCACCATCGACTCTACCGGAAACAAGAACTATATTCATATACATATTAATATATCTAGCGATAATACAGAACCATGCTTGCGCGAGTCCATCACGCACTTAGCCAATTTTTATTGCATTTTCCATAACTCATGTCTCCTATTGTTTCTATTTTATCTGATTTTATTGTCTTGTTTTTATTATTATTATCAAAGGCTAAGCTTTTAAAGCAAATCGCTTACTTTGTCAACGCGCACAGATAGGACTGATTGCTTCACTATTTTAGCAGGAATATTATCATAACCAGTGGCATAATCAGTGCAGCGAACTCATAGGCGTAGCTAGTGAGGAGCAAGAGTGGTCAATGCCCACCCTAAAAACTTCTTTGCCCACTCTCGACAGTATTAAGGAATTATTAACCGTTTAATGTCCTTTTAATTAAAGATAGAATAATTAATTCGAAATCCACCACAAACCACTGGACAGATTTTGAATTATTATTTAATTTGGTATGATAGCTTGTAATCCGGGTCAACATTTAGGATACTTTTTACTGCGGGAAAATATCTCATCTCTGAGAAATCTATACTTAACGTTAAAAGTTAAAACGTATCCAGGAATGAACCCGAGCGGAGCAAAGGTCTCGCTGTTCGATTTAAATTTTGTAAATGTAAAACGTGACGATTTAAAAGTGCTTCTAAGCGTATTTGAAAGTATATTTAGATTTTTAAAGTGGCCTGAATACGCCGCCTTCTACACATTCTCTATTTATATTTATATATTTATATATATATATATATATATATATATATATATATATAATATATATATATATATATATATATATATATATATATATAATATTAATTATTTCTCATTTCATTCTACCAATATTTCAAAAATTAGAAGTCGTATCCGAGCGAAGCGAAGGCGATTCCTTGGTTATAAATAACTAGAATAAAAAGTATTACTTAAAATAATCTTTTTTTTATTTTTACATGATCATAGACAATTGTTATCATAACTTTTTTATTATTACAAATTAAATAATGATAAATAATAAACAGGAGGGAATCAATCTTTATTCAAAAGGTATTGTGCTGTGTATAAAATGGCCATTTAAAATGACCATTTTCTTTATAAAAATTATAAAACAATAAGTGTTGCATCAAAATTAAAATGATTAAGTTATAAAAAAATAATTTAGAAAAGGGCTTCGATACATTTCAAAATTTACCATGAGCTATATTTTTATATATGCACTGAAAAAAAAAGAAGTATACAATATTTATTTCTTTTATTTCATTAGTACAAAGTAAATTTTATATTCAATTTCAAACAGCAAGGCATTTACATGTATGTTTTGACAAATTAAATACGACAAAGCTAAAGGGAAATCTGTAGTTGTTAAAACTTAACCTGCCATAATAAATACACTATTTGTCAATTTATATGATGTAACCAGAATGTGCAATTTTCCAATACAAAATTTACTTTATAAATCTGTTCAATGTAGGTACAGAGGTTTATTTGTGGACTACTATCAGTAAGTGTTATTTTGCAATACTTGCCGCTTGCTTTTTAGCTTTAACCAACTCTACAAGCTCCTTGTACCTCTTCATGCAGTCTTTTTTTGATCTGTTTGGTATACAGTCAGCTATTTTGTCCCATCGCTCCGGTGTACTCACTGGAAATGTCTTGATTGCTTGTTCTAGTAACTCTTGCTCAGTTTTAGTCCACGGCTTGTCTTCTTTAACTTCTTTATCTTTCACATCTCCGTTGACTTTGGGTTTGGTCGTACCATTCACTAGTTTTGGAGCATCATTTTTAGATATACTATTGTCATCAACAACGTTAACAACCTTCTTTTTGTCTTTTTCAAATTGATCAAAAGCCTCCTCATTTGCTGCTTTCTTGAGACTACTCTTGGAGAAATCGGAACTTTGTAAGTCTTTAGCCTTATTCAAAACCTCCTTGGCATTAAAACGTCTGTCATCTGTAAAAGTTCCATGTTGATTTAGAAAATTAGCTACAACATCCCATCTTTGATTTGTTCCCGCTGGAAATAAATTGACTGCTTTAATGAGTAACCGAGTCATTTCTGCCGACCATTCTATAGGCGCCTTTAATGCTGCACTCTTTTTAGCTTTATGCTCTTCTACTTTTTTATTTTCAAATAAAGCCCGACGCTCCGCTTCTAATTTTTCATCAGATTCAGTGAGAGCTTTAACAAATGCTTCACGTCCTTTGCTTTCTAAATCTTTAATTAAGTCCTGTAACTCAACAGCTTTGAGCATTTCACATATTTTTTCTACGGCTGCCATATGTGATACTGTTTCGTCATCATTCCTTGCATAGTAATTATTCGCTTTGCAAATATCTCGGAATGACTTCCGTTCTTTACGAAGGTTCTTCTTTTGCAGTTCCCTTTCAGCCCTTGCTGCTTCTATTCTTGCTCTTTCAGCTTCGTCTGCTTTTTGTTTGGCGAGCTGGGCTTCCTTTATAATTCTTTCTTCTTCAGCTTTTTTAGCCTGCACAGCATCCTGTAATGTGTAGAAAATATTTCTATGTAGCTTTTTAAGAACTTTATCTACTGTTATTTTATTTAAAAAAAGTTTTTTTAACACAATATATTAATTCTGATTTTATAATGAATTATTGTATCAATTGTATAATTTGTTATTATGTACATGTACTTTTTTTATTTCAATAAATTAAAAATATTATAATATGTATTTATATATGTTTTATTTACTAATAATGTTTTTATACCTTTCAAAGAGTAGATGATATGATTTACCTGTCTTGCCCTTTTGGCTGCCAACTTTTTATCTTTATCTTCTTGTTTGAAGCGTTGTATCCTGGGATCGTTGGCATATGCTAAGTCAACAAGACTACGTATCCTAGCCATTTCTTCTTTCTTCAGTTTTGCTCTAGCAACTTTGTTCTGCTTTTCTATCCATCTGCGCTCCTCTCGATCAGATCCTTTTTCTTTTTCTTCTTCATCTAAATATGAAAACTCACGCCATGAATCAAATTCATACCAAAATGAGTAAAATTTTTCTACAAATTCTCGAGGGCTTTTTTCATCACCTAACAAAGGCACATTCTTTTTCTCTGACCACCTAGCATTTATTTCAAAATATTTGGCAAATGACTTGAAAAATCCGTCCTTTTTAATTTCACTCGATGTTGGTATTGCATCGTCGAATTCTGGATCAACAGAGTCATAGGATCTCCTAGTTTTTGGTGTACCAAGAATTTCGTAAGCCTTTGTTATACATGTGAAGTAGTCGTCATCGCTTCTGACCTCCTCACCTAGTGCTTTACGTTTGTCTGGGTGGTGTTTTAAAACTTTCTGCCTATAAGCACGTTTGATGTCATCGTCAGTGGCTTCGTAACGCAATTTTTTTATGCCTAAAACTGCGTAATGATCCTGTTTCTTCCATTCTTTAGGATCTAAGCTTCGGAGGTAGTCTACATCATCTTCAAATACTACTTCTTCAGCTTTGTCCTTAGAGTTTGATGTGAGCAGCAGGGTATCTTCGCCGTGACATTTTATGTTATAATATCGTAAAAATGCACCACCCGCACATTCCACTTTTCGTTTTACAAATGGGCATGGTATCGCTACGACCCGGCAATTATTCCCAGATTCTCCTTCGGTCATCGTTTAAATGATTTATACAATAAATATGAACTCGTTACTAACATAACCTAAAAGCGAATTTAATTCTTGATAAATTCACGTTGCTGGCAGCGTGAAACACTACACACGATATTTCAAATTGAAGAAAAACTATCCTAAATTAAATTAATCACAAATGCTATGACAAATACATTATATTTTATATATACTAGAACGCGCTTTAGTCCCTAGAAATATTTCCATACGACATTGTCTTGATGTGAATGTATTATCCGTCTATGTCGTCAGTCGTGAATGACAGAATGAATGATTAATAAATGAATGAATGTTTTTAAATAGTAATTAGTTTATGAATTTATACAGATTTAAAAGTCAATATTTATATTATAAAAAATACATATTATAAAACAAAAACAAATCTATACCACAGGGAATCCTACATTTTTCCGGGATAAGAAGTAGCCTATGTGCTAGTTCAGACTTTAATCTATCTCTGTGCCAAATTTCATCTAGATCCGTTAAGCCGTTCTGGCGTAATTGAGTAACAAACATCCAAATATCTAAACTTACACATTTTTATAAGTATAGATGTACTTTTAATTTTTTTAATCTTCTACATAACATGTATACCACGGAATTGGATGACAAATAAAAATATATACCAACATAAAAAACTCTATCAGCTGACTGTTGTCATATTCAGCTGATAACAAATAACATCTCTGCTTCTTAGTTCTTACTTCTTGTATTCAAAATTAATAGTTAGTCGTGTTAAAACTGCGGTAAATTTTTATATTAAGATTGTTTTACAGTTTAAACTTTAAGTGGAATTAACGATGGGTGACATGGATTATCTTTTTAAACCTATTGTACTTGTAACTGGGTTTGGCCCTTTTCTTAATCACCCAGTCAATGCAAGCTGGGAAGCCGTAAAATTGATGAATAAAGAGGAAATAGAAAAGAAACATAATGTAGAATTAGTTACGATAGAGATGCCTGTCACGTACGAAAATGTGGACGAATTCGTTCCAGCGCTTTGGGAAACTCATACACCTAAGGTACCTTTTCTTATTTATTTACTAGAAACTTAATACTAAAGTCCATCCTGAAATTCCATTCTAAATATTGGTGTAAGATTTCTTAAATCGCATGGGTAGTTTTGATGATTACCTCCTACATCTAAACTTACAAACTATACAGTATACACTTCTTTATAATATTAGTATAGATTATGCATAAAGAAATATATTTATAAGTATTTCATTTCTTTTAATACATTTGAATTTAATATATTTAAGTTTACCTTTTGTTTTAGTTAATGATACATGTTGGTGTATCAAGTATAGCAAATAAAATGACACTAGAAGCTCAAGCTCATAGAAAGGGCTACCAAAGATTAGACTATTTTGAGAAATGCCCAGCTAACCATGTATGTACCGCTGAAGGAGCTATAAGAATACATACAAAACTTGATGTAGAAAGGATATGTAAAGAATTTAATGAAAATAATCCACAAAATGATACTGGTGCAATTGTATCAAAAGATGCTGGAAGGTAAATCTATCAAATCATATAATTTGGTTTATTAAGTGAATCGTTATTTATTCTTAAGTGTCTTATTTTTTTATTAGTCTGGTATATGAGGGCTGAAGCTACTGTGTAAACAATAAAACTATATTTGACGACAAATTTGGCTCAGTTTGTAGTCACCCTATTTGCTGTGCCTGGGGCATTCATTTGTGTGATGGCCACAAATGTTTGTACTCCAGTCATGGGTGTTTATAATATGTATTTATTTAAAGTTATTTATGTGTAGTGTATGAACTATCTGGTAACCATAACACAGGCCTCATAGCGTACCATGCAACTAGATGGTGCTGTGTGTTAATGTCCTAACATATTTATTTATTATATTGCTTAGCAAAAACTTTGAAACAAAAATATTTGTGAGTGAAAAATGTCTGTTATTTCATTTCGGATTATTTCGCGGATTTATTTTGATTTTCGGTTCCCGACGTTTCGAATGCTTTACAGCATCCATGGTCACGGGAGAGTTTCCCGTGACCGTCAAAATAAGTATTTGGTTGATATTTACGCCTTTTTTTGATTACATAATTAAATTAATTATGTTGCTTTTGCCAAATGATGGCATTAAAATAAAGTTTTACTAGTAAGGAGGTATCAGAAATTCATGGATGATATGTAAAACAAAGCAATTGTATGCATAAATATAATAATAGGTACATAATATAATATATTGCATTTTAACAAAGAATATCTCAAGTTACAACATCAGTTAATAAATTACATTTGTTCTAACAAAGAGACTTACATTATCTTGATCTCGTGATAATGTATTGTTTATTTTATTGATAAAGACAATAGATGTTGTGTAACTAAATTTATGTATATAATTTATAAATGGATTGCAATCTTGTTACATGTATAGAAAAATAGGTATTTTTAGTTTAATTGTATTGTATTCCATTTTAAATATGAATTTGAAATTTTTAAATTTGAAATTAATGTAAATTCTTTAAAAGCCCATACTTTTAAACTCAAGTCAAAATAAATGTGTGATCACATTTATACATAAAAGTACAATTAGGCCTAATATTGAAGTTCTTGATTTTTTTTTTGCTGTCCACTTCACGTAAAATACCCCAAATGTGAAAGTTTGTTTATCCTTGTTTCACGCTAAAATAGTGCCATCGGGTCACGAACAAAGAAAAAATAGTTCAAAAAAATGTCAATAGATGACGTTACATGTATTGATTTTATTAAAGTTGTGTTAAATTACAAAAGATGAAAAATTTGATCTCCTAAGATATATTATTGTTTTATAAAATATTCTAAGTGAAGGGAAAAGAAATAATGCGCTCGTAAATCAAATTTTACTGATTAATGACATATCAACAATCAGATGATGGGTTTGTAATGCAAATTCACAGATGGTGGTTCCTTTTTATAATATTAGCATAGATGAGGCATCTACACTAGTATGTGATATGATAGTGCTATAGAATAATAAGAATTTCTTGTATGGCTGCAGATATGAGTTCCTGGGTTCGATTCCCGTTCTAGTTAAAGCTATTCTGTCAAGACATTCTCAATGACAGCACGCAGTTGGGAAGTTAGTGGTGTTTTACCCTCGAGCTGCGGTAAGGCACGTAAAGCCTTCGGTCCTGTGTCTGATCTGTCACCGCGAGTGTCAAATTAATTATCGTTCTGGAGTTTGAGAGCGCACTTGTGTTTACACACATATTTGTGCACTTTAATATATTTCCTACGGTTGGCTAGTTCCAGTGAAATTGGCAACTTTGACTGAAATCTGTTAGAAGGGCATTATTATATAATATCATTATTTATTATTTACAAAATAATGCTTTTTCCAGATATCTATGTGAATATATTTACTACACATCGCTGAGCGTGGACAATAAACGAACTCTCTTCATTCATGTCCCAGATATGAACATTTATTCTTCAGAGCAAACAGCAAAAGCGCTAGAAAGTATTTTAGATTTATGTTGGGAGCAAGTGAAAACAATGGATTCTGCTAAAGAAGTCACTGACAAGTTACAAAATTCAAACTTATTATCAGAAATTTAATGTTTTATTTAAATTATGTCTATATATACTATATGCTTAAGTCGGTTAATTATTTAATATATGACTAAACGTTTATATAATAAATAGATATGTACATGCTTTCTATGTAGTAATAACAATCTATATACATCTATACAAATAAATAAAATTGAAGTGTATGTTTGTAATGTCGAATTGAAAGCTTTTTACTGAATGCATAAAAAACACAATTTTTAAAGTTTTGTCTGTCTGTTTCTTCCGGCAAATCCTCGAAAGGGCTAGTCTGATTTTGACGGGATTTTCACTGGTAGACAGCTTATTTTATAACTAACTTAGGCTACTTTTATTTTAGAAAAACAATTAGGTATCCACTCAAAAAAGTAAAATGTACGTATGGACGCACCCAAGCAAAGCGAGGATAAGTCGCTAGTTATATAAATTATCAGAAATGCGATTTTAAATAATAATTTATTATTTTATGAAAAAACAGTGTAGGTATGTACTTAATTGTAAATTTTAAACATTTACACGTTTTAAACAGTCAGTACAAATATATATACATTTTTTTAATACTGAGCCGATTTTATCAAGGGACGATGTCGATGGGTGAAGTGTTGATTTATTTTTATATGTAGTAAGTACTAATATATAGATAAATTGTTATTTTAATATTAATATTGTTTAAATAGAAATTATTAGTCTCAATAGTTGTATGTACTAAAAATAAATGTTCCGACGCACAGAATTACATTCCAGACTTTGTAAAAATATGACCTGTATTATAACTAGGGCTTTTATCCCGGGAGTCTCGGTCTCGAAAATTTCGAGAGTCTTGACGATTTTTTCGAGTTTTCGAGGCTCGATCGAGACTTCTACCGCCAGTCCCGGGAATAACGAGACTTTAGAGACATAAGTCAAATAATCAAAATTATTAAAAAAAATGTACTAAATCACCAGTATTTTTTATTCCATTTACGTGGTAGCACTGAAAAGTGAAACTTAGGATAAGACCACAGAGGGAATAACTAAACCATGGCTATATAACTATTTAATATTTATCCCCTATCTAATACTAGCGCAGCGTAATAAAATCAGATCCTCTCTGTCCAAAAGTATGTACATTAAATACTCTTTGTTTTTACGTGCCTACTGTAAAAATGAAAAAAAATCTCATAAATATTAGGTTCTTACTATGAAATTGGCGTTTTGTCGAACTGGCTACTTTGATCTCAAATATCTGGCGTTTGGTTAGGAATTCCATATTCTTTATTTCAAATTTAGGCTTGTGTATTTGTTTTTCGAATTTAGATATTCATTAGTCGTCGCGCCTTTTGATTTTTCTTTGATATCATTCATTCTGTTTACAAAAAGGAACGCTTAAAATATCGAAATAAGGAAAGCTTAAAATATCGAAATATTTACGAACACGAGTTCCACCGTGACACCAGCGTGGAAAATGCTCGAAGGATTAATGATGTGTATGAGGAAGCTACTGTAAAAGAAAACATGGTTTTGGTTCCAATGTTTTCGTTCTGGAAGTTTTGACCCATAGAACAAATCCCGTGGACGGCCGAGGTCGACCATAGCAAACTACGTCAGAGTTACCGGCAAGCTTCGGTGTGAGTGATAAAATAATTTTAATTTAAACAAATTGGAAAAGCGAAAAAGCTAGAAAAATGGGTACCGCATGAATAGAGTGAAGCACACCAACGAACACGCGTCGCGCTGCGTTACATTACTCATCCATCACAATAATGAGGTAATTTTGAATCCTGTACAATCATCGGAAACGCTCGTCATAATGGTTGAGCCCAGGAGAAATCTTGCCCCAAGGGAAAGTTGGCTCAAAAAAGGTACCTACTGGTAAGTGTAGGTGGACCAGTGCTGGTGCCCCGTGCCATCCACTTCAGCTTCCTTAGATCGGGCTAGGCGATTACTGTCACATTATCTGTATTGACGACGATTTCAAATCATGATGGAAAAGATATCCGTTAAAAACCGATACTGGTCAATTGCTCTAGCCCACTGCTGTTTCAGGACAACGCTAGACCACACACTGCATCATAGACAGTCGCTAGATCAGATGAGCTGCGATTGGAATGTCTCCGATAACCGCCATACTCCCCGGACCTTGCTCCAACAGATTACCACTTTTTCCGGAATGTGGACAATTTCTTGCAGGGAAAAAAATCAATTCCGATGAGGCAATCAAAGCCACCTTCGGAGATTTTATTGATAATCGCTCCCACAATTTTGTCAGCAGACGAATCAATGAACTACCTATAAAATAGCGGAAGTGCATAGATGACAATGGTACATACTGTGTGACTGATTAAATATATAGTTTAAATATTTTTTTCTTTTTCCATAAAAAACGCCAATTTCATATGTAAGGGCCTAATAATTGTTAATTTTACTTGTACTGAGTTTGTAAGAGTATGGTTAATAAAGTACTTTATTGAAATACCTTCTATCGACTGTCTAACTGCCCAGCCTATGAGTATGAAACCATTTTTGGAGTAGTCTTGAAAGTCTCGTTTTTTTCCCGGGACTCGTAAATATAACGAGACTGAAAGCCTTAATTATAACGTCATGTACAGTGTACATATATGTTGAAATTTGTATCTAATACCTACCTACATATTGTTTCTATATTTTTATAGAATACAAATAAATCTAAATAAAAATCGTTTAAAATTATTTCTTTCCGTAGTAAGAGAGGTGCCGTCGCATTTCATCTAATCAATGATGATTAAATACATATATATGAACATGTTTTTCGAAAATTTGCTAGGTTTTCTCAGGCATGCAGGTTTCCTCACGACGTTTTCCTTCACAGTAAGACAAGTGGTAATCAAGTAGAAAATGATTCGCACATGAAAATGTCAGTAGTGCAAGACCTGGATTTGAACTAGCTTAAATCGGTTTCCCAAGCGAGCTGCCACTGGGCTACCAACTGGCTTTCATCATAATATATGTCGCAGGTAAATTGTAAAAACCGTGATGACATGAAATTATAATTCAATTCAATATTTACTTTTTGGGTTTTAAAAATATCCGATCAACCAATCAAAACTGACCGAGGCTTCCCACATCCAAGTATTGCTACATGCGACTATTGACAATTTAACTAAGATAGCTTATTACAATATCACTGAATGTTCTTATTGAAATTATGCCCTGTCCCGTCACATTGCAAGAAAAGACTATATGACAACACACCGGGATATTGTAATTTCACTAGTGATATTATAATTAAATTATAACTGTTAATTTAGAATTTTACTAATGAAATTTAATATAACGGTTTTTACAATTCCCTTTTTTTATACTATTCAGAATTAGTGCTTGACTACGTTCCACCTGATGGTAAGTGGTAACGCAGTCGTAGATGGTGAGTCGCACTAATTCAGTAGCCACCTATTCACTCTTGCCTTGAAGACACCCATATTATAATCGGACGGAAACACCGACGCAGGCAGGTTGTTCCAATCCTTAGCCGTACGTATAATAAATGACGTAGCGAAACGCTTCGTGCGGACGGGTGGAATGTCCACGACATAAGGATGGAGACCAGCCGTTCGTCGGGTTGTCCGATGATGGAAAGGGGATGGGGGAATTAATTCATGTAGTTCCTGCGCACACTCTCCGAAATGTAACCTATAGAATACACAAAGGCTGGCAACCCTACGTCGGTGATCGAGGCTTTGTAGGTTAGCTTTTACCAGCGTAGGGTCACCTATAAGCCTTTGAGCACGCCTCTCAATCGAGTCCAAGGCTGACAGATGGCATTTCGCAGCACCAGCCCATATGTGGCTACAGTATTCCACACACGACCGGACTTGCGCTTTATATAAAACAAGAAGCTATAATTTCAATCTATAATGTCCCTTGGGACATTATAGATTGAAATTCATAAAACTATTTGGAGATAAAAATGTATAGTACCCCTGTGACAAAATGTATGTTTCAATGAAAAATTAGTATATATGGATTGTAGTAGATGCTAATATAATACCCCAGTTACATAGCAATAGCCCTAACTGCTTTCCTGACACGTTTCGAGGATATGTGATTATATATACTGCCTTAAATGATTCCTTTCGAACCTGTTAGGCACAGATCACATTATACTATACTAGTACAGATGCCTCATCCCATACAAAAACAATTGAACAGGGCTAATTCGGGCTATTTTTGTTTGCTTGAACAGATAATAGATGTCGTTGATGCGCAAATAGTTGAACTGTTTTCTATACATCTATTAAAATTGTAACTTAGACGAATCTGTGCATTAAATATTTTTTGGAAAATCTGATTGAAATAGATATTATTATCGATACAGAGGCCGAATCTATAGTTTTTAGAATTTTTGTTTCTTTGTCTGTTACCGCATCACGGAAAAACCACTGAAGGGATTTTAATGAAATTTGGTATGATGATAGCTGGTTATCCGGGTCAACATAAAGGATACCTTTTACCGCGGGAAAATGTCTCATTTTTGAGAAAAAATACAAAAACTGCAATGTAAGACTATACTAATATGTAAAACCTTAGAATTTGGTTTTTGGTCATCTGAACGCGGGCGGAGCCGTGGGTAATGCTAGTATTTTATATGTGCAAACCAACATATGGTAAATATTGTAAGTCATCCTGCATTCGATTAAACAATTTTTAATCCTGATAAACGACTTAATATAAAAAGCGAAAGCGCCACCTGTGAGCGTGCACTACAAATCTATTTTCTGATTTTACATTAAGTAAAATTTTGCAATTTCAACAAGTGCATTATTTTGTTTCCCTTCATTTAAGAGTATTTTTCATATATATCCATAGTATGTTTTTTGTTTTTTTTTTAACTTTCAATAATCCCTCAACGACCTATAATACCAAATTAATAGCACAATTAGATATAAACAATAATGACAAGTTTGTAATGGCTGGACAGACAGTTAAAATTAAAACATAAGACTATAACCTGGAGTAAAAAACTGCCGTTAAGCACCTAAGAATGTACCCCAAATAACCAAAATAGCTACCAATAAATATCTCTAAGACATGTGAAAGTTTCTTATTTACAAATAAGTAAATATGTATGCACTATCCACATATCCTAGATCTAGATCAACCTCGTGTCTAAACTGGTACATATTTGAAAACAAGATTTTTAAGAAAAATAGTATCTAAATTACATTTAGCTAACCCAAGGATGTAATGTCAATCAAACAAACAAATAAGGTTTTAATCACGACGTTTATTGTCTAATCTTCTTCTTCATCATTGGTAGCACCACCACCCTGTCCCTTGCGGAGGTTCTTCCTCTTGACGCGTCCAGGTCGGCCACCACCGAAGGGCGATTTAAGCGAGAAGTCAATGTGCTTGCCAGAGTCCAGACGGACAATGAAAGATGGGATGTTCACCACTTGCTTTCGGACACTGAAATTAAATAATTTGAATTAATTAATAACTTGTAATCTATACAGATAAATTCTTTTATGTTTAAAAAAATATGTAAATAACAACTTTTTATTAAATGCTTTATGGTTCTAATAAGAACAAAACAATTTAAAATTAGGATTCCATGCAAAAAAAACTAAAACCCTCATAAATTAAGAATATATGTTGATAGAATTATAAATCGTGTAGATTTATCTTATTTCAACTACATATTTATATTGAAAAAATGATAAGACATGTAAAAAATCCAATTAGGCAATTTTTTGTCCAAAATTTAAACACTTATGATTTCAAAAACAAACTCAATACACGACTTGATGTAGTAAACCATTTTGCTATCCTTAAGACATACCATAATGTATAATAATTAAAAACACAGACAAATGGATAAAACTTTACCTGCATTTAACTCAAAAGAGCTTATAAATTTCAAGACATTGATCTCACAAAGTGAAAATCAAGTGGTCTTTCAGAAAATTTCATTCAAACCCGCAGTTCTCGGAATAGCTGCATGTGTTACCTGTATTTTATTGCAATTAGCATAATTTTCAAATATTTCAGGAGTTCCAATTTTTTTCAAAATTTTCTGATATAAGGAAATATTATGACATCACAAATTATTACAATCTATAATCTTATTTCTACTAGTTTTATATAATTGTAAGTTAAAAAAAGCAAACTTACCGAATGTGCCTCTGTCTGATCAAAATACGAGCGTGATGGATGGACTTAGCAAGACCAGCCTTGAACACTTGTGTCTGGAGACGGCGTTCTAAGAAGTCCTCAATTTTGAGACCGAGGACATAATCGAGCTTCATCTGCTTCTCATCCAACACTCCAATCCTGACCAGACGACGGAGAAGGGCATTACCTGTAAATCAAATGGATATAAATCAGTAAATTAACTTATTGCTTCATTTATAGTATATATAGAACTATTATTTATAGAAGTGCTCAGTATTAGTAAAATCACCATAAAGTTATCTGACAAGAGGTTGCCATAAATCATCATTTAAAATTAAGAAAATATAAAAAAACACAGTAAAGTAAGTAGCACATGTCTAGGATGTAAACATCCTAGACATGTGCTACTAAAAGCCATACAAAATCATTAAATAATCGATTTTTGTATTTCTTACCTTCAAACAGACGTTTAGGGTCTTTCTCTTCAAGGGTCAACAGCTCACGGGCAGCCTTACGGATGCGGGCAAGGGTGTACTTGACCCTCCATACTTCACGTTTGTTCCTCAGACCATATTCACCGATGATCTTCAATTCTTGATCAAGACGCGCCTTCTCAAAAGGACGACGCGGTGTGACATAGGTCTTCGAAAAGACTGACGGTACTCGGTTGTTCACCATGATGGCGAGCTATAATACAAGATTTTTTTAAGAATTAGAAACAATCTCGACAATTTTGTATCAATATGATTTTCTTTTGATATTTTAGGGGGGTTTGTAGCCACTAGCCATTACAAACCTAAATTACCAGGAATGTCTCTGTATAAGAACATTACTGGATTATATATGCTTGGGAATCTGAGCACGTGGCAATAATTTAGCCTTATTTTTCCCTCATAACAACCTATAAGAAGGTGATTATGATCTACATAAAGGCACTTTTTCAAATATAAATTGACATAAATTCAAATGTAATTTATAGGTTGTGTTTGAGTCAAGAAAAATCCACTCTCATCACATAAATTTGCAAACATTTATATATTCTTTATTCACCACACATTTTAGTTTTACAACTCACATGAGATTTACTGCATATTTCTAAAAATTAAAGTTTATTTTTAATTTTCGTACCTTCTAGCAACGAGGCCCGCCGAAAAAGAAACTGAAAGAACTATTAAACTCAAGTTCAAGTTGTCAATGTCAAATGTCAATACGATTTGGCGAGTTGAATCAGTAATCGATAAAATCGATACAGTTTTATTATCCGATAACATTTAAATAACATTTAAGAATGCCATAACAATTAAATAAAATTAAACAACTAAGATTGTGATTTCGCTTATTTAGTCTCATTGCTTTAGCCCAGAATTTCTTCAGTTTTTATCTTTTGGGAACAAATGATATCCATTTTCTTTGTATCCTGGTACTGCACAATTTGTCATTTTTATTCATCATTTTTATTAATTAAATTTTAAATAAAAATAAAAAATCCATTCAAGATATAAAGGTTTACAATATACTGAAGGCTATAGTGATCGCGGCATCTGGCGGGAGAAAAATGCAAAATTTAAAGAAACTCATGACCAAAATTGGTGAAATCACAATGTTTATGTTTAAGGCTGGCTATGCAGACATCATTTCATCACAAGAAAGTGATTTTAAAACTCTTAAATCTTCTGCAGAGGCCCTCGTAAGGCTAGGGGCCCTGGGTATGTACCCCATATGCCCTTAATGTAAAGACGGAATTGACCATAACAGTAATAAAAAAATGTTTCAGAAAAAGTATTTTATTTATTTGTTAGATATATTTTATTATACTTATAAGTAAATAACTGCACAATCTATATTATGATTAAAACTTCTTATATTTTAAGAAACTTCTATATTTCTTCGGATTTAATCCATAGGCTTTAAGTCTTTCATCTGATAATTTATTAAGAGGATCTCTTGTTTTGTCATTCTGTTTATTACTATTTTTATTTTTAAACTTGTTTTTGCCCATATTTTTATTATTTCCCTGATTTTTATTATCTGTGCCTTTTTGTTTATTTTTCTTCTTTTTCTTTTTGGGCACCTGATTAGAGTCAGATTCTAATTTTCGTTTCAAACTGCCTTCTGTTTTATTTGAATTATTAATTACGTCGCTTTGAGTATCATTTTCTGTAGTCTCAACTACAGAGTTTTTATGTTTCTTATGTTTTTTAGATTTTTGTTTACTGTCATTGTTTAATTCACTATCAATTTTGCTAGGGCCTTCATTTTCAACATTATCTACAGTGAAAGAATTTACATGTTTCTTTTTCTTCTTTTTATTAATTGTCTGTGTACTTTTTGGAACAACATTTGGTTCGTCATTAATTTCTTCTCTTTTAGCCGAAGGTTCTTTATATACTTTTTCTATGTCATTATTTTCAATATCTTTATTGCCTAATACAGAGTTATTATCAATGTTGCCATTTTCTTTATATTTCCGCTTCTTCTTTTTCTTATGTGTTTCTTCTGGTGCTATTGGTGTATTGATTATATTGTCATCTATATTAACTGTTACTTTTGTTTCTTCTTCTTTTTTATTTTTCTTCTTCTTTTTCTTCTTCTTACTTACTGGTTCTGGCGGCACCATTAACTCGGGTTCTCTGTAAAAAGTTAATTTAAAAATGAATATTTTGCATTCATAAAATATTATCTATACTAATATTATAAAGAGGTAGTTTGTGAGTTTTTGATGTTGTAGGGGGTAATACGGACATAGAATACCTTTTATCCTGAAAACCATCCCTTAAGGGGGTGAAAGTGGGGGTTAGAGTTTTATGTGAAAGCAACCTAGGGACGAACCCGAACAAAGCGAGGGTGCGTCGTTAGTCGCTAGAGACTAGCCATTTTTCCTTCACTTTTCTAGACTGAGGAAACCACGCGATATAGCCAAGATTTTAATTTTTTAAACAATTAAGATGTCAGAGATAGATTTTATTAGACAGATTTAAATTTAAATATTATGTAATCTACATACTCAGGTAAATCTTTGAAGAGACTCGGCAGTATTTTCTTCTTCAACCTTTCATCGGCCGCTTTTTGGGAATAAACTTTGACATCACTTTTTTCTACATTATCAGGTCGGTACTTAATTATTTTCTTTAGTGGCACCCATTGAGTTAGTTCTTTGTCATCTGCTAGAAGTATCTGTAACAATAATATTTTATTATGAAAATTTAAATTTAAAAATTAAATACATGAAGTGCTAGTGGCTTCTACTAGCTTCGCTATTCATGTCGCTTTTAATTAAATAATCATATCTTTGATTTTTATTTTTCTCCCAATGTCAGACGATGCGTTTGGCTCAGTTGTAGTGACTCCACTTGCTGTGTTAGCGATCACGGGTTCGATTCCCGCTGAGGGCATCATTTGTGTGATGAGCACAAATGTTTGTACTCCAGATATGGGTGTATAATGTATATATTCATATTATATACATTTATACATTATACACCCATGATAATATATATTTATATCATATTTATAATATGTATATGTATTTAAAGTTATATGTGAATAATGTATCAACTATCTGGTATCCATAACACAAACCTAGTAGCTTACCATGGAACTAGACGGTGTTGTGTGTTAATGTCCCAACATATTTATATTTATGCATATTTAAAGTTATATATATATACCAAGAAGCTGATCTGAGGATTGAGCCAGAAGACGGCGAAACTCTTCATTCAACCAACTTGTATACCTTTAAAATATTTTTTCATTGATATTATAATATCACATAAGAACAACATACCTCTTCAACCGTCAATCCATAATTATTGGGAACAACCTCTCTGTATTTGAATCTAGTCGGTAAATCCCCACCAATGACATCTTCACAGTCCATCTTATAATACTCCTCCATAAATTCTGAATACGTTTTATCAAATTCAGGTACAAATTTCGGTTTTTTATCTGATAACAACTCAGCTAATTTTGACTTTTTCTTTCTATTCCTTCTTTTCTTGCCCATGTTCCGTTTGAGTTCTTCTAGAAGGTTCTCTTTTGCTTTCTTTGGGTCGTAGTCGGCATCCATCTACAAAAAACACAATTAATAAATAAGTGTGTCAAATATTTAAGATAAAATTACATTTATTGCTGAGAATAAAGTTAGAAACCAAAAATTAAAATAAATCTGTGAAATAATCCGAAGCGTTTTATTTAAAATGTCAAATATTCGCATAAATCTAAGAAATTATTCAAGTTAATTAAATTATGTGACTGAATAAATTACTAGTTTATGTTAATTTTTTCGTATCCTTATTTGTAAGCTCGAAAGTAAATGATACAGATAAATAATTAATATTTTCAGAATATGTGATCTTTAACTATTTTAAACAATATTAAGGCATTTGGAAATTTAAGAAAGTTTAAATGAATGAATTATTTGATTGATTGATAATACAAACATTGAAGTCTTCATCTTCACAATGAGGTCCATTTTCATCCTGGTCTCCATTATAATTGTCTTCGTTTTCAAACTTTTCCCAATTTTCTGTAATATAAATGAAATTGTGTAATATATATTATACATGTAGGATTTGCAAAATGAGTATGCGTGAAATGAAATTTTAATTAATAAAAGAAAAGGTACGATATAATTTTAAGAATGGAATGAAAGATGAATGACGGCACGACGAGACGCGTGAACATTGTTTTATATAATTTTAGAAGAATAAATAGTAATTAGTGTACTATAAAAGCTTTTATTGATTTCCCTGGATCCTACATACAATATATATTTGACGACATGTTTGGGTCGGTTTGTAGCGACCCTACTTGCTGCTGTACCAGCAGTCGCGGCTTCGAGTCCCGCTGGGGGCAATCATTTGTGTGATAAGCACAAATGTTTGTACTCCAGTCTTGGATGTTTATATTTATAATATGTATGTATGTATTCACTAAATTACAAGCCATGTTTTCAGCTATGTGGGACTCCCCTGAAGCAAGTAGCTGAGTTCAAGTACCTAGGGCATATTGTAACCGAACGCCTGGATGATGGTATTGACATAGAACGTGAGCGCAGGGCGCTGTCGGTCAGGGGCAACATGTTGGCCCGTAGATTTGCACGTTGTACGACACAAGTAAAGTTAATTTTGTTTAAAGCCTTTTGCCAGTCCTTCTACACGTGCAACCTATGGACGGACTACACGCAGCGGACCTACAGTGCCCTGCGGGTACAGTACAACAATGTGCTGAGAGCGGTGCTGAGAAAGCCTCAACACTGCAGTGCGTCGGCAATGTTTGCGGAGGCGCGTGTGGACGATTTTTACGCGATCATACGCAAGCGTACCGCGTCCATAATAAGCAGGTTAGTGAGCAGCTCCAACACCCTCCTTGGCACATTGGCGGTCAAGATGGACAGCCCTCTCTGGAGGCAATGGTATAGGGTTCACATAGCCACGAGGCGGACCTAAACGAGTCTCATGCTTGTGGTGTGGCCTTATCACGTAGGGCAATCTAGTTTTAAGCTAACATAGGTTAAGTATTTTGTATTACTAACTCTTAGAATAGATAAATTGTATGTGTTTTCGTTTTAACTTCTTTTTTCTGTGTAATTATGGGTTTTTGCCTGAATTAAAGATTTATCATTATTATTATTTAAAGTTATATATGTGTAGTGTATAAACTATCTGGTATCCATAACACAAGCGTCGTAGCTTACCATGGAACTAGAATTTGTTGTTCATAATCAACTAAAATCCAAAAATATTTTTTTTCATATTATACAACAAACCTATTTCCAGCTCCTCGTCTAAGTCAGGAAACACAGGTTTCTGATCATCCACATCTCCATAGTATTCTTCATCGAACAATGCTTTCATTCTTCTGTCATGTTCTTCAGGATCGAAATCACCTTCTATGTCTTCTTCCTGCAAAGAGTATTTATTTAACTTAAGCGGTATGGTTCAATACTCAAAATATTTTTCCCCAGTACCAACTAGAAAAACCTTTTTAGGAGTCCTCTATATCAAAAGAATATGCTGTCTTATGTCAGTTTATGGATGATGACATATAAGTAGTTTGTATAAATTTGTTTGTAAACCTGTGTTGACACGTTCAAAGTCTGCTTTGACAAAGTAACTTTGATCAAAGTTTACTTGGATACCTGTTGACATGCTTAGTGTATGCTTTGACAAAGTAGCTTTGTAAAATAAACTTAGATATGATATGTTTGTGTTCCAAACGCGAATAAATAAATACACACCTTAAAGGCTAGATCTTCATTGCCTGTAACTTCTTTAATCTTCGCAATTTTCTCTTGAATCTCCTTCAGCTTTAATGCTTTAAGTCTGGCAATTTCCTCCATTTTCTTCTTTTTCTCTTCTTCTTTTCGTTCTCGTATTTCAGCTCGTTTGCGGGAGCGGCGGTCGTCCTTCGGACGGATGTAGTTCATTGTGCGAGGAAATCGTTTTAACTACAAGAAATATATATTTTTAATACGACTATACTATTTTAATTTTCATTCATTCTGCCATTATCATCAGCAACGTAACTGTCCGCAACATAGACACAATAGTTAAACAATCGAAATGTTCATATGGGACAGGGAAATGGTTAAATAAATATATTGGTGTATCAGTCAAATTATAGTAGAGTGAGTACTGCTGGTATGGGTTACTTATGTATGATGGCATACTTATGTATGAACAGTCTGATGTCTGATGATTATTTAATTTCAATTTATTGAGCATTTGTCGTACGACTAGTTGAGAGTTGACAAATCAAACAGTAACAAGACATTGATGTCGACTTTCAAAATTAATATCCAATTTACAATCAATTACAACTTCCACAAATTGTTTCTGTAAAGTGAATTAAAAATTGATAAGTGTAGTTAAGATTATAAGAAATCTCTTACATATTCGTCATAATATAAATATCTCTTACATATTCGTCGTCAGGCTCTTCGAAGCGGAAATTATAGGCGCGTTCAAACTTGCCCTGCTCCTCCACCATCTTTTCATCTTCTTCTAAGTCATCATCATCACGTATCTTATCACCTGCTTCTCCAGGATCACCATCTTCTAGATACCTGAAATATAGCAGAATTTATTTATAAAAACCAACAAATTCTCTTGATCTATCAGTTGTAACAAGTCCTCACAACACTTACTGAGATACAGGAGATTATTTATATATTAAATTTAATTACTTATTGTACAATGCCTATTATTTGTTTTATATTAAATAAATAAATGAAATAAAATGAAAAATTATTTATATTGCTGCAGATATATTTATTAAGCTATGAAAAATAGTCACCCAATACAATGTTATTTCCTAACAAAACTTTATTTTTTTGAGTACTATTTGCTAACAAAAACATTTTAACACTGCTCAAACCTTAAATATTGAAAAAACCATTTAAATAATTAGTCTTACTAGCGACTCACTCAGGTTCATCCCAAGGTACATTTCACACACCAATTCATTTCTTTGAAGTTTCAGTTTTGACATGAAAGAAGGACAAACAAACACACTCTTACATTTATAATACTTATATAGATTATAATAATGTTTACCTTTTATTTAATATGTAATCCCTTAAGAAAGCTTCTCCATCATTTAGCTTAGGATCTGACCATAGTTCCCTGAGCGGAGCAAGCTCTTTTTCAATTTCTTCATCTACATGTTCAGCCTTACCAACTAAATAATCTTTAATTTTATTATCCTGTAAATATGTATATAACATGGTTAGTTTTTAAGGGAAAAAAAACATGTTAAAATTTTAGTGTCATTTTGAGTAAAGGATTTATTTATTTTGGGAACAAATGGTATCAAGTAAATATATAGAATAGCAATTCTTTAACGAAACTTAACCATTAACAGTTTTCAATGTTACAAAAATACATATACCAAAGTCGGAGAGAATATGCAAAATACAATTGAATTAATAATATTAAAAAAATTAATAATAACAAATTATAAAAGAAAAAGATAAAGATAGACCATAATCAATTAAATATAGGAAAATAAATTATTAAGACACTATAATACTATATTAATTAAATTTTATTATAACATAACAATACTAATCTAAGATTGAACGAACCTTTGATGATTTGACCATATTATCTTCCTCTGGTTTATCAATTTCAGCTTTCTTTTCAATACTAAATATATTGGGATTATTGTCGTCATCATCATCATCATCATCACTGTCACCAAAAGTTAATTTCTTGCCATCTTCTTCCTTTTCTAAAAATATAAATAATTAAAATTACATTTAATTCATCTTGTTATATCAAAATAATGACTTTGAGCTTTGATCTAGATTGCAATGTGGGACTACAATAAAACTGGACACTTAAAAAGCATTCTTAACTTAGTTAAAGCTTGTATATATAAATATAATTGTTTAGAAAAAATTACAGCACCAAATTAAGACCTGGATTTAAATGAGAAAATCTACATTTGATCTTTAATGACTATTGTAAATATAAAAACTTTGCCGACATAAGTAGGTAATTTCCAGTAAGTGCCACCAATTTATAGAGTATGAAATTAGAAGTACAAGAACATATTTGTTGAATAAATTTTATAAAGAAATGATGTTAAACGAGTAAAATTTAAAAAAGAACTACTTTGTTAAAATCTATATTTTGAATTATTATTATTACAGTAGAAATAGTAAAATAAGGTTTGTTTTATTTTTATTTTACCTTTTTCTTTCTCAATTTGCTCATCAAAAAACTTATAATTAGGGTCATATATTCTAGGATCCTTTGTTTTTAAAAGAGCCAAGGTTTTAAGGAATTGCTTCTCCACCTCTTCTGAAACTTCTGGAGGTTCATCACTTTCATCTTCACTATCAGATGATATTGAAACATCTGAGTTTAGAGCTTTTGAGCCATACTTTTGTTCCACTAAAATAATAAAGTGTATATATGAGTTGCACTTATTAGTTTAATATCATATAAATAATGTAAATAATTGTATTTTGACATTTAACTCACATTTATGTAATTCTTCTTTTTCACGCCAAGCATCGTATTTTTTTGCGTATTCATTTTCTGTTTTTAGAGCCACTTCTTCCTCTGAATCTTCATCAAAAAGTGTTTGTTTTGGCATCCTTATAGTAGGTTTAGACGCGATTGAACATTTAGTTAACTATATCACGTAGTAAATATAACCAAAAAATGTAAATAACACTACAGCATGGCCATCGAAATTCGAATTCCATTCGTATTTCGTGAAATATTGTGAATGTGAACAAAAAAATATGTCAAATGTCATGTGTCACTGTCATTGGACGTTCATTTATTTAGATTTTCATCGTCTTTCTGTCAAGTAACAACAGCTGCCAACCATGGATGTGCTGCCAACTCTTGGACCTACCCTACCCCAGCTTGCAAATTTATGATATTCGCAATGAAAAAAATACTAATCGATAGATTTTTAATAGCTCAATTCAACTACGTAGCCCTTCCAAATTGCTCACCATTAATTATAAAATTAAAAATCAATAAAGTCCTTGAAAAAAAATTTATTTATCCGTATATTCAAATTTCTATATCTTTTGATATATACAATATTTTAAATTGCTCAAAGTTCTAAAATACTGCTCAAGTTGCATTTGTAATTGCTCAAGTAGAGTTCTCACCAGCTCCACTTTCCTTAATTATTAAATAAAAATAATAAATAGGTACACACGTAGAAGTCCAAGAAGTTTCAGAATCAGACCTCCTCTGCATAATCAACGATGACGAGGACGACGAGAAATCCTTGTCTCGCTCGGGCGAGGAAAACAGCATAAATGCCGGTAAACGGACCACAACTGGAGCCCGCTAAGAAAAATGAAACATCGCCGCTAAATTAATCAGGAAAAAGAGGACGGTACTAAGGGCTCTAATGAGATGGAGTCAAAGAGTGAGACGAAGCTGTTGAAAATGAGATGGAACATCCGAGAGGCGATCAGCTCAGCATCAAGAGATGGAATGTTTGTGGCGCTTCCAGGAGCTAAAAAGGATCGTAGCAGTATTATTAAATTATTGATTGCTGATCAGAGTTCAAAATTCCTTTATATTAAAGGCAGTTTATATTCATGCAGTTTGTTTCTTTGAAATAAAAATGTCATTAAATTATATGTATATTTAAAAATAAAAAAAGTTCCGTCTTGTATTGATGTTAATAACATTTTACTAATGATCCCTGTCATGGCTATTACCTTAATAGAATAAGCATTTGAACATAAGATTTTGTCTTAATTTATCTGTTGGTATTAATTTTCATTTATTGGTAGATTCCAGATCTGTTCTTAATGTTATAATATCTGAAGTGGAATCACGTAATGTGAACAATTCATAAATTCAATAAATTTAAAGAAATCCACCGAGAAACAGAATTAAGACGTTGAATTGGAACGATTGTCCAAGCCCGCCGAGGCCGACCGACAATGCGCGGTGCGTATGCGCACGCTCACATAACCTACGTTACATTTATTACAACTATACTTTTAATTATTTAATAATCAGCGAAAGTGGAGCTGGTAAAAAGTCTACTTGAGCAATTACAAATGCAACTTGAGCAGTGTTTTAGAACTTTGAGCAATTTGAAATATTGTATACATCAAAAGATATAGGAGTTTGAATATACAGATAAATTAATTTTTTTTCAAAGACTTTATTGATTTTTAATTAAATAATTAAAGGTGAGCAATTTGAAAGGGCTACGTAGTTAAATTGAGCTATTGAAAATCTATCAATTAGTATTTTTTTCATTGCAAATATCATAAATTTGCAGGCTGGGGTAGGGTAGGTAACTCTTGGGTTATATATAACAAATGGGAAAGACTTAGAGTATACATATGCTAAGTATACTCTAAGGGGCAAGATTTCTCGAGACGAAGGCGTTACACGTATGACCTATTTACATTCAGACTGAGGTTAAGTAACTTATTGTGTCATCTCTTTTATACTTTTATATGGTTTTTTTGCTTTTATTGTGTTCGCATCATACCTGTGCAATGTATTGTATCTGGAAGTTAGACCAGCTGAAGGAAGAATTGAGAAGGGAGGTGCATCCTGTGGTGGTCCTGATTGACTGATGGATCAACATACAGCATAAACCGCTGATCGTAGAAACGTAAAATTTGAAGGACATATTCCTTATATGATGTAAGCATCCGATAAAAAAGAAGTTTTTTGAAATTTATCCCCTTTAAGAGTACCCACTAAGGTGTATTAAAGATTGTATGAAACTTTGTCATTCTTATTGTAAAATATACAGAAAGTGGTGTTTAGCTTTAAGATAAAAAATAAGAAATATGTTTATTTGATTTGTTTTGAAATTTACCTCATAAAGAAGTAAAAGGGGCAGCAAAGAATTACATTTTATGATTAAAATTACTTGAAATTTGGTGTTAATGCTGCATTTTTCAAAATTCAATTCTATAAGGGAGAAAAAGGAAAATTTGTATAAAACTCTGTACTTGATATTTAAACAATTACAAAAAATAAAAAAGTATTAATCTGTAGACGGCGTAAGAGTTTTAAAATCACTTTCTTTAAAATGATGTCCACATATCCTTAAATATGAAGATTGTGATTTCGCCAATATTGGTCGTCTTATTGGCCCACAATCTTCAGTTTTTGTCTTTTGAGAACAAATGACATCCATTTTTTGGCATCTTGGCACTGCATAATTTATTATTTTAACTCAATTTTAAATAAAATAAAATCTATCCACGCTTTATAGCGTTACAATATACCGAGGGCTATAGTGATGGTGACATCTGGCAGGAGAAAAAGGCAAAATTCTTCCCCATAGATAAGTAGAAATAAATATTACGGATAACCCAACTTAGTCTGTGCCAACTGTCAGCTCTTCTTACTATCTGTGGAATGTGGATATAAAAATATAACCTATGTCCAATATTCGTGACCGGTTGACTAATGACTTGTTTGTTAATAGTTTATACTGTAAATAATATTGTGGAGACTACATGTTTATAATATAGTGTCAATAAAATATAAACAATTTAAAATCGAGAGTCCTCGATCATGACAACAAACCCACGCAAAGGTACCGATCCGGTGCCTTTGGAAGAAAGTGATCAACTAACTATACGTCCTTTGTAAATATCAACATTTTTCTATATTTCACTTCTTGTTTTATGTAAACTATAACAGTATAACTTCACAATCATTTTTTACTTATATACTAGAAGTTATGTAATGAATAATCATGTTTAATTTTTGTTTATTTTATTTCATGCTCTTAATAAAAGTTGAAACAAGTATAATGTTTCTAAAAGTTAGTTTTAATATAAATAATATTTAGTAGTAAGTTCTTAAAATATCTATATACTTATTTAAAAAGAAAATATTTTACTTTTCAGAGGAGCTGGACAAGAAGTAGGGAGATCATGTATTATGTTAGAATTCAAAGGAAAGAAAATAATGGTAATTGATAATTAATATTTTAGTTTTTATATGTTATGGTTAATATTGCATAATTATAACAACTTTTTAAGTTTTAAATAAAACTATCTTTTCGGATTTTGTCGCGGATTTATTTGTATTTTTTTTTCCCGACGTTTCGAATGCTTTACAGCATCCATGGTCACGGGAGAGACTGAGGTGTTACATGTCTTAAAGATATAGTTGTTACAGACAGCCTACCCACAATTAACAAAATGAAAATTGCACCAATTACATTACAATATTTTAACTTTAAATATTTTTATAATTTTAATTATAATTGAATATGGAAAATTATTTATTTAATTTTTTGCTATTATTTTTATAATTATTACAATTTTAAAAATATTAATTAGTAATCTATATTTAGTGTTGCCATTATTATATTTATAACCATAAGAATTTAACTTTAAATATTTTTATAATTTTAATTATAATTGAATATGGAAAATTATTTATTTAATTTTTGCTATTATTTTTATAATTATTACAATTTTAAAAATATTAATTAGTAATCTATATTTAGTGTTGCCATTATTATATTTATAACCATAAGAAAAATATAAAATATAGTATTAATTATTTAAGCCACAATTGATCTGTGTAATTTGAAAAAGTTAAGATTAATTAAAAATTATAATTTTAATTTAAATTTGCTATTATTTAAAAACAAATTATTAAGCAACACATTACTACATACATTTACAAATGAAAAAGTGAAAAAATATTATTAATCAGAAATGCTATCATTTTGATCTACACAGTAAGAACTTACTACATCTACCTGTCTGTTATGTTTAGATTTATTATTAGATTTTATTATATTAATAACAGGATCCCATGACGATGGTAGTACCCAGCCATCTTCCCTATTGAAATTAGGATGTTTTTTAATTTCTATGGCTTCTCGAATCATTCTAGGGCGATATCGGTTTTCCTTCGCCAGGATTTGAGGCCTATCGAAGCGAATATAATGGCTTGGGCGGTCCTGACTGTACATATATTTTTATTTCAGTTGGATTGTGGAATTCACCCTGGGCTATCAGGAATGGATGCCTTGCCTTTTGTGGACTTAATAGAAGCTGATGAAGTAGATTTACTATTGATATCACAGTAAGTTTTTTATTCAATATTATAAAAAGTGTGGTTAAATCTTAGTAGAATACACTGCTAATATATGACATATACTGCACATTATCTCAAAATGAGAATTACATATTTATTATATAAAACAATCCAAATTAAAGTAACTGTTTATTGTCATAAACAAGAATGTTAATTTAAAAAAAAACATTATAGTTATATTGGTATTGTTTTATTCAAGTTAAGACTTATAGATGACAATTTATTATGATTTCTTTTATTTTCAGTTTTCACTTGGACCATAGTGGAGCTCTGCCATGGTTTCTCACAAAAACTTCCTTCAAGGGCAGAGTATTTATGACACATGCTACTAAAGCTATTTATAGGTGGCTCGTATCAGATTATATTAAAGTTAGGTAAGTTATTTTTTCAATTGCTTCATAGTCATTAATAAAAACTAGGTATGTATCATTTAGATAAAAACACTCTTATTTTTAATCAACAAATCTTAATAACGATAAGCATAAAGAAGTTTTAAATAAAACTATCTTTTCGGTTTTTTTTGATTTTTGGTTCCCAATATTTCGAATGCTTTACAGCAATCATAGTCATTGGAGAGGTATCCCATCGAAAATTTGTGTAAATCTAAGTATCACAAGAAGCAGTTTTTTAGGTTATAAGAATTTTGTTATTAGTCAGTGTTTGTAGTCACCTAGGTATTTTTTTTTAATGAGTAAACTTTAAGCCTATATAATATTATAAACTACAATTCATAGTGCTTGGAGGTAAAAGTATAGTTGGTCAAAGAAAAGAATTATTTTAAATTTTTAGTTAATAATAAATATTAAATTAATCACAATTCATTTATTATATTTATAACTGATTTATTACAGCAATATATCAACAGAACAGATGTTATACACAGAGTCGGATCTAGAAGGTTCCATGGACCGCATAGAAACAATAAACTTTCATGAGGAGAAGGATGTTAGAGGGGTTAGATTTTGGGCGTACAACGCTGGTCACGTGCTTGGTGCTGCCATGTTTATGATTGAGATTGCTGGAGTTAAAGTAAGTTTTTAATAATATAATATTCAATTATTAAAGCAATGTTGCCATATATATTATTATTATTATGATAGTATGTATGGATGTTTCTTACTCTTTCACCCCAGAACGGCTGAACGGATCTAGATGAAATTTGGCATAGAGATAGATTATAGTCTGGAATAACATATAGGCTACTTTTTATTCCAGAGAAATATGGTTCCCGAGGGACAGATTTGTTTTTATTTTATACAATATTTTAATACTTTTTGGGGTTTTAATACCTCCAGGTAAATTTCTAAGAAATTAATTAATATTCTAAGAAATCTATTGTTAACTGACACGGCGTGTCCGCGGTCGTGGAGGGATATATGAATTCAGAGTTCAATGTAAGAAATCTTTTAAAATTAAAAGACAGAATTTTATAAATAACTTGTATACATTTTCCTATTTTCGATTTAGTTTTTCAATGGTTGGCATAGTAATGAAATTAATTAATTATTGTTATTTTCCATAGGTATTGTATACAGGTGATTTTTCAAGGCAAGAAGACAGGCATTTGATGGCAGCCGAGATTCCCACTGTGCATCCTGATGTTCTGATTACTGTAAGTTTTCTATTATATGACAAACAAGCAAGGCAATTTTTACAGATCACTTTTGGTTATTATAAATGATAAATGTATATAAATAAGTATGAAGGATAAAAAACAGTCAGTAAAGATGTACTGGACTGTAATTATATTTTGATAGTGATCTGGTGAAGTTGGTATGTTTGTATGTAGGTCTTTGAAACTACTGACCCGATTTTGAAAATTCATTTCTTAACAGGAATCTACGTTGCTACCGAGTGCTATAGGTTATTTTTTAATCCAATACAAATAAGTTTACTGTCAAAAATTATAATCTCATTGAAATCCGAATAAAAGTGGCAATTGAGTTTCTCTAGTGTGCTGCTTATATAGTTTGAAATGACGCAAAATATATGACAAAAAGACCTCTATAATTACTAAACACGGTACGGTACATGGCCCGTGGATAGCATGTACGGCTGCAGATCCGGAGGTCCTGGGTTCGAATCCCGAGTTCGACAAATTTAATACTTCATTCTCGAGTAACGCATGAGCTCAACTTCATTCTTCTTCATCTATTTTAGAATTTTCTTAGTAGTTGCCTGGAGTTGGGAAGTTTGGTATGTTTCACTCCGATGCCTTAGAAAGCAAGTGTCATGTCGGCTCTGCGACTTAACTCTCACTCTCTCTCAGTATTATGATTGTTATATGGAGTGTGTGTGTGTGTGCAGGAGTCGACGTACGGCACGCACATCCACGAGAAGCGCGAGGAGCGCGAGTCGCGGTTCACGGGGCTGGTGAGCGACATCGTGCAGCGCGGCGGCCGCTGCCTCATCCCCGTGTTCGCGCTGGGCCGCGCGCAGGAGCTGCTGCTCATACTCGGTCGGTAGCATCCGTCTGTCCCATCAGGCTGTTTGTATACAATGTCAATCTTGGTGTAATGGATTCTATGAGTCATGTGTATTAACTTTAAGGAAAAAAAACTGTCAAATGGGTAAAAGAAGTCATATTTTATTTTCAAATTGTTAACAAATTGTTTGTTACGTGTCTTGTCAATTTTGACCTACTTTTGATTTTTGTATTAATATAATCAATATTTATGAAATTTTATCAAGAATACAATAATTTGATACTGTTGAATTGATCTGATACATCATCAGATCACTGACATTTTGGTTATATAGCCTGGAGGTGAATAGTGGAATTTGAAAGAATCAGTGGATTTTTTTCCTTTTTTAAAATTTAAATTAAATAAGTACCAGTAAGTCAGTGAGTCAAACTACCAACGGCTCGGAAGTCATCATGACAGTTAATCAAATGGGTGTTGTTTTAGCTTATAGAAAACACAACATATTAAATTAAACTATCATTTCGGAGTTTTTTTCAAACGGGAGAGTTTTTACCGTGGCCATGAATCTGAATAAATCTGCGAAAAATCTGACAAGATAGTTTTATTTAAAAATGTGAAATATTTGTGTTAATCTAAGAAAGTATCGTATAATATATAATAATTTGTATAATATGATAAAAAGACGAGTACTGGTCGCTGCACCCGGAGCTGCAGGACATCCCCATTTACTACGCGTCGTCGCTGGCCAAGAAGTGCATGGCGGTGTACCAGACCTACGTCAACGCCATGAACGACCGCATCCGCCGCCAGATCGCCGTCAACAACCCCTTCGTCTTCCGCCACATCTCCAACTTGAAGGTCGGTCGCGGTTGCTCCGAGTTTGTTTTGTTTTTATTTCTTTTTGATCCGAAACGCGAAACTTCCAAAAAGTAAACGATTCGAGTGTAGGCTTTTGTGTATGTTATGATAATGAGATATTTATTATTTTCCCAATATTTTTAAAGCCTCATAAATTTTATGGGTTATGATTTTTTTAAGTTTTTTAGCTTAGCTTTAATGTATTTCTTTTATATGTACGAATATGAGTAAGTCCATGAGTCATCATTTTTTGATCATACCTGAGAAGGTATCTACCAGAAAAAAATTAAATTGGTATTTCCGAGATGATTTTCCGTTAATATACAACAAATAATACATATTCAAATAAAAAAAAACAGTAGGTATATTAATTTTGTATAATATTTTGTTCACCAATCGCAAACACATCTATTTCCGGCTTAACCTTGTCGTACAGATGCGGGAAAGCCCCCTCCGCGCCATACTTCTTCCGGACAACTTGGTACAACGCTACATCAAACATATCCTCAAACTCTTTTCTCGTCATAAATATATCTGCATATAAAAACGAAAACCCGCCAACGTCGCGCGTGAACTTTTCCATCTTACGCATTGCATCCACTGGGTTATATGGTTTTTTCTGTTTCACTCTTCCAGGGACTCCGTAAACTCCTAAATCGTTGTACATCGCATAGTTTGTGTTTGGCACTAAATATTTTCCCTTAGGTCGGCCCAACTGACCCGACAGTGGACCGTGGTCTATTATTTTGCACGGATATACTAGCAAAGGAAACTTCTCGAACAATTCGCTCGCTATATCAATCTGCCTTTCCAATACGTGTATAGGAAGGACGATGTCCTGGAAAACTTGCTTAGTGAAAGTATACGCTCTTACACCAGGAGTTGTTGTAAATTTAAGAAATGCTGGCTTTGGAGGCAACAGCCACCCAAATAAAAGCCTGAATAGAGGGTTATTGCCGAACGATATCATATCTTCGACGACCCAGAAAATAGGTCTGTTGTGACGTAACAAATAGTCCTTCAAGGGTATTAATTCAACACGTTCACCCTTTACTAAAAAGGATTCCACGTGTTTATAGAACCAAGGCTTGTACCATCTCGCACAGTGATTAACGACGATCTTTCGGTCGTAGTCTGAATATTCCCCGGTCATTATCACCGCTTTGTCTTTACTAAATATTGTGCCTTCTATGTAATCTGGGTGGCATTTAGGAGTGGCTTCCCTCGCTCCGGATAGATCTCTTAGCATGTCGCAGTATTTCTTCTGCCCTTCGACGGGTGTATACTTGATTTTAATATAAGGTTGGATTTTGATGATTTTCAAGGTTAAAGCGACCAGGAAACCCAAACTTCCATGAGACCATGGCAGGGCTTTGTATAAATCAGAATATTCGTTGTCCGCTGTAGCGGTCATTAGTGTACCGTCTGCTAGTACTACTTCGTAGCTGGTGATTGTCTCGTGATAAAGCCCCGCTTTGTGGGAGTGTGTCGACATTCCTGTGCCGAGAGCAAGGCCTGAAACAAAAAGTACAGATAAAAAACATTCATTAAAGTTGGTCAAACGTCATCTGTGATAGATTTTAAACTGCTAATAATACTTTGATTATAAATATTCCTATAAATATCTTTTAGGTTATGCACTTAAAAAAAAATTTTTTTTAAATGCCATACTTTTTGGATAAATGTAGTGAAATAAAGCAGAGTTCAAAGACTTGAGACTATAATTAAATACCTATTGTTTTAAAGTATACTTCATTATGTAACACTTCCCGAAGGACAAGTCCTTTGAATAAAGATTATTTAAAAAAATGAAGTATAGCACTCACCTCCCAAAGTAGCGTCCACCAACTCAATAGTAACAGCCAAAGAATATCCTTTAGGTATTAAATACTCGGTTATATCCCCTATAGTCGCCATCGGTTCGACTCTAACCGTCATGGCTTTCTCGTCTAACTCCAAAATATCGTATAACGGTATCGGGACTTTATGGTGTAGGTGCTTCTGGAAGAATGTGGTAGAGAGAGATAGCCAGTTGGGTCTCGATGTGCATAGAAGCCGTCTTTTGCTTGGTGGTAGTTTGTTCCATTCTTGCACCTGAAATGTTGAATTATTGTATTTAGCCCTTTTTAACGTCCCACTGCTGGACACGGGCCTCCATTCAATACGAGGGGTATCAGGCAATAGCTGGGCCACTGTGGGTTGGCGGACTGAGGTATGTTTTTCGAAATCTTGCTAGGTTCTCTCAGACATGCAGGTTTCCTCACGATGTTTTTCTTTACTGTAAGACAAGTGGTAATCATGTTGGAAATGATCCGCATATGAAAATGTCAGAGGTGGGAGACCCGGGAATCGAACCCGCTTCACTCAGTTTTTTCAAACGAGCGCGTTACATCGGTCTTTCACTGCGTTTTATGAAATTTTGAATATGAAACATTATTGAAAAAGTTAGATGACTTTTTTGTTAGTGTATTATTTTTAACTAAGTTTGTTCTGAACAAGTTCTGGAATACTAACTTATTCGTGCGGAATACTGTTATATTTCATAATATTTTTTCGAGTATTTTTTCAACTAAATGAAACTATTGCATCTTATTTTTGTTTCAACTCTATCGTAATATTTTTTTACCGGACACCATGAGCTCTACCCCTAATAGGGACAAATATGGGAATATAATTAGTTTTTAGTGTAAAATTGTATGACTTACAGACTTAGATTGTCTTAGAGCTTTTGGCTGACTGTAATATGTATATTTGTAGTTACGATGATTGAGTTTATTTTCGCAAGTTAGTTTTATTATACACGAAGACAGGAAAGGAAAATCTGACCTTATTTTGAATCTTCCTCACTGCGCTATCATGTCTCTGTGGGTTACTGTTGAGTTTTCTCACAAAAGCTTTTAAACGCAGTATCAAAGTGAACAAAAAGCTCGCGGGCAGGCAGAACGCGCACACCACCATCTCACGGTGCTCCTCTAACCATTGTATGAGACGATTTTTGATCCATGACGGCGCCATTGCTATCGAGATCTGAAGTATGGAAGATGTTTTATATATTTTTTACTAGCGCCTCAGCCTCTAGAATAACGAAAACAAATCTATCCCACGCGAACCATATATTTTTCCGGGGTAAAAAGTTGCCTATGTGTTATTCCAGACTATAATCTATCTCTGTGCCAAATTTCATCCAGATCCGTTCAATCGTTCTGGCGTGAAAGAGTAACAAACATCCATACATACTCAAAAACTTTCACATTTATAATATTAGTATAGATTTACTAAATACTGAATATGGCTTTGTTTGTATAAATAATATTTTTTTAGTCCATGACAAATTAACATGGCTTTTGTTTTATAGCAAGAACGGATTTCATTTAATTACGTTTAGCAGATTTGCCGGTAACATTGTAAAATTTTTCTAATTGACCAAATAAAATGCTGTATTAATGTGTAAAATATTACTTAATATCCAAAAAAAATTACAATATATGCAAACTCTTATAAAAAAATGGATTAAAAATTAAGACTTACCTCAAAACTTATTTACGAAACAGAAAACGATAAAACTTTGCCCTTGGCATTGACATCGATTAAAATTAAATTACGAGGCGTCTAGCGACACACGAAATAATTAATTATAATGTCGAGATAATAAAACTATCTGGTCCGCGCACAGTGAGCAGTGAGGCCAAAATACTTATATAAAATGAGTGGCTTGCACTGGGTCAAGCCGAAAAGAGGTTATCATTTATATTTTTAAGTATAATAAAATTCTAACTGAGTCGAATCTGTGCATTAAATATTTTTGGGTAATCTTATTGAAATAGTCATTATTATCGATACAAAGGCCGAATTTATAGTTTTTAGAATGATAAGGATAGGGAACCTGTTGAAATTTGGTATGGTGATAGCTGGTTATCAATGACTGGGACAATATCTCATCTCTGAGAAATTTATATTTTTTAAGTTTATAATTGAAAGTAGTACTTTATCAAGTAATAATATTTGATAAATTTTTATTACTTTTAAATAAAAAGGTTCATAAAGTTCAAAATTACCTTAAAAGCATTTATTCCATCCCTCAGTATAGAATATTTCATGGAGTTTTCAGTGAACCACACTCAAGTATGTAAACCCTATTTGTTAAATAAATAGGTAATCGTTAAAATTGTATTTTGAAAACAAAGCGTCATTTCTAATTGTTTTAAAGCTCTATTTATTGATTGATTTTTAATGCCAATTATTACACTTAAAAGTAGTAAAAATATAATAATTCTCTATAACAATCTCTTTCGGTAAATTGGCCATTTGGACATATAAGCTCTCTTAGATTTGCGCAGATATTCAACATTTTAAATGTAACTATATTTATTTTCCCCCATGGGGTAATAGCGCCCGGACAAAATGTAAATTAAACAACACAAAAACCGCCAAAAAATAGTTTTGTTACAATAAAATAATATTTTTTCCAGGGCATCGACCATTTCGAAGACATAGGGCCGTGCGTGATCATGGCGTCGCCCGGCATGATGCAGTCGGGGCTGTCGCGCGAGCTGTTCGAGTCCTGGTGCACGGACCCTAAGAACGGGGTTATTATTGCCGGTATCCTTGTACAAACCTATTACATTTCAAAGATTTAAGCGAATATTTCATATTTTAGATTAAACTGTTTTTTCGGATATTTTCAAGGATTATTAATGCTTGGTTCCCGACGTTTCGAATGCTTTTTTATAACGTCACGGTCATGGGAGAGACTCATATGGTCACTCTTCCGTGGCCATGATTGCTAATGTACAAACCTAATTTAGTTAGCCTTAAAGTATAGATAAATTCTATCTATAATATTTTGTATTTTGTTTGTACTTAGGATATTAAGTTCTAATAAACTAAACAAACCTAAGTGATGGATGTTAAATTTCTATACTAGGCGACGACTAGTATTCTATAATATTAAATGAACAATTCTGCATATATGTATATTTTTTTTCGTGTATCTCGGAAACGGCTCTAACGATTTGGATCAAAATTTGTATTTAGATATTACTTGTATTTATACTTGTTATTATATTTAGGTTTTACTTCTTAAGTTTATCCATTTATATAGGTGAAGAACTTTTTTGAAAAAAAAACGCAATTTTTATATTTTTTTCGAAAAACATACTTTATTATTATATACTATATGTATATAATGAATATATTTGTCAGGGTATTGCGTGGAAGGCACCCTGGCGAAGACAATTCTGTCAGAACCTGAGGAGATAACATCGATGTCGGGGCAGAAGCTGCCGTTGAAGATGTCGGTGGACTACATATCCTTCAGCGCGCACACCGACTACCAGCAGACCTCCGAGTTCATCAACATATTGAAACCTCCGCATGTCGTAAGGATTTAAAATCGTTTTATATTCATTTGTTGAAGTTAAATGGTTCAAATTAATTATTTCTTTTTGTTAGTTGAGTTCATCTATTAAAAATGTACTAGATACACAATCAGCGACTAAAAAATGTCCTCACCGGATGAGCGCTCACTTAGTACATAGTTACATAGAGTAGATATTTTGTCGGCGATCGTGCAGGTAGTACTGTGTGTGTGTGTGTGTGTGTGCGGCAGGTGCTGGTGCACGGCGAGCAGAACGAGATGTCGCGGCTGAAGGCGGCGCTGCAGCGCGAGCACCGCGCGCGCCTCGCCGTGCACACGCCGCGCAACACGCAGCTGCTCGCGCTCACCTTCCGCGGCGACAAGACCGCCAAGGTGCGCCCACCTCTTGTTTCCTTTTGGGAAATGCATTTACTCAAACCATCTGTAGGTGGTCATGTGGAACTCACCGGCTAGGAAAACCTATACTACTATGCGTTTATTTCTTTATGTGTTTGCCCCTTTATAGTGACGCATTTTCGTTTCATCGAGTTTCAAATCACAACAATGCTGAACAAATTTCATTTCAAAAATATAAAAAAAGACCGAAATCTTCCGAACGAACACTTTCATATTGGCTTACAAATATAAAAATAATCTATCTTTCTATAACATGTTATTGTAACTAATAATGTAAGTAATCCACGTAATTTATTTTTTACTATGACTACAGTTTAATAGATCTTTTTAAGAGACGTGATTCTATTACACATTGTTTATATATAACTGTTGGTTCCAACGGAGCAAGCCGATAAAAAATTCAGTTGGCATGATTCTTTTCCGACATCTTCTACAATCATCATCATAACTCAGCCTTTTTACATAAAACTACAATAAATTATAAATTACTATACTATTATTGGCAGTACTATTGGTGAATACCGTATAAAAATCCGTTCTATAGCTTTTAAGCTTATCACAATCAGACAGACAGACAGGTAGACACGAGCTATACGCTAATTTGTGACTTTATTGTATAATATGTAGTGATTTTTTTAATTGACAATAAATTGTGTAGATACTTGTATTAAATATGTATCTATCTTTTATATTGCTAGTGTTCTATATTACACAAACGAATCAAATAATAATATAATTATTATTGTTATTATAAGCTTAATGGATTGCCGAGCAAAGGCCTCCCTATTCTTTTTTCATTTCTCCCATGAATTAAAACGCTATAACGTACGTCGTCGCCAGGTGATGGGGTCGCTGGCGGAGGAGCCGCCGGTGGCGGGCAAGCAGCTGCAGGGCATCCTCGTCAAGCGCAACTTCAACTACCACATCCTCGCGCCCGCTGACCTTAACAGTGAGACATGCATACGTGCTTTTTATATATCTCATCAATATAATACTTTCTTAGATTTACGCGAATATTTGACATTTTAATCCCTCCACGACCGCGGACAGTTAACTATTGTTGTTGTTCTTAGAATTTTAATTAATTTCTGAGGAATTTACCTGGAGGTGTTAAATAAAACTATCTTTTCGGATCATATTGATTTATTTTGATTTTTGGTTGCCGATGTTTTGAATGCTTTACAGTAATAATGGTCACGGGAGAGACTAAGTTTATAGACGTCTCAAAGGCGTTATATACTTGTTGCAGACATTGCCTACCCACTAAAATTCAAAAATGGCATTACAGTACCTTACTATATTTATTGATTTTAATCCTAAACATTTTAAAAGATTTTTTTGATGAGGTTCATTAAGTACTCAATACGTTGCTCGATGTCTATGATACCTTAGTATTCGTGATAATTTTTATTAGCCAAGAGGAAACAGCGAAAGGGACTTTACTCCATAGAGGGTCCCGCGGCATCGGCCGTCTTTACTTTTAATTTCGCAAATGATATGACATATTAGACTTATGTTGTGACTCTATTTCTGCCCTCCCGAACCTAAAGTGCAGTAACAGCAAAAACACGAATTCGAGAAAAACGCGCCTAAAGTTTAGAATCCATAAAAATATATCAAAAAGATACTTTTCGATAAAACCTTGAATGGAAAGTGAAAGAATATGTACCAAACTAAAATACTAAACATTGTTACGTTAGTTTTTTTATAAAAAACTATAATTATGGCAATTTTAATTTTTTTGCCCCTATTACTACACACACTTTATTTGTATAATCTTTTCAAAAACTGTTTTAAATGCAGTAAATCCTGTTATTACTGCATTTTAGACATTTTTTCCATGATCATTACTAACTAAAGTGCAGTAATATTATAAAAATACTGCTATTTAATCTGTTTTTTTGAACAAAACACTGATATTCCACACTTATAGTAATATAAAATTACCTTTAATTTTGATAAAAATATGTAATTTCTTAAACAAAACTGGACATGCATTTATGACTATGCTATTAAAACTATTCATCAAAACATTGTACATTATAATCTAATAGTGTAAATTGTTTTATATGACTAACAATATAACAATCTTTACAAGATGTTGACAATCTTAACTAGTTAATCCACCATAAAACTATATCACATGTATTTCTCATGCATGGATCAATAAAATTTACATAAAATCTTTCTTCTGAACATAACTAATTACTAAATGAGTATTCTTGTCTTACAAAAATAATAGTCTGAAAAGATTATGGAAGGGAGAACTAAGGAGAATTAACTTATATGGGAAACAGGTTGAAAAAGTGTCCAGTAGTGAGCAGCAAATTATAGCTCAGAAACTCACCGTTAAGCCTAGTTCGCATTGAGCTAGTATTTTAGTCTAGTAGCGAGTAATTTAGTAACTAAACGTGTCTGAACACTAAAAATTTAGTCGATTAGTTTAGTAAGAAATTTAGTCAATCCATTTTATTCTATTTTTTTGGGCGAGTAGCAGCCCCCACCACGCGTCCAAGCTCACTGGTTCACCGGCTAAACAAGTACGAACCTGTCGAATTAGTCGAGTTCATTAGTTGCCGCCATAACATTCATTAACAGAAAATTTACACAACTTTCGGACATTCTCAAACTATCGAAGTATTCTTTGGGATCTTCCAATGCTAATTCCTTCAGAAGACAATTAGTAGCTCCTAGTTTATCTCGTCTTTCGATCCATTTTCTTACCCATAGCTTCTTTTTATTAATCACACAAATTTCCTCATCAACCTCTTCTAAAATAGCCGTTACGATCAGCTTAATCAGTTTATTTACTTTATTGCGTTGTAGGCTATTCATCTTGCAAAACACCACTCACTTGTAAACTGTACTCGACCAAAGTGCGAACGATTTTTGGTGAGTAGCGAGTAATTTAGCTACTAAATTACTCGCTACTAGACTAAAATACTAGCTTAATGCGAACTAGGCTTTACAGCACTAGCGTAGCAAGTAGATGTGATGTGAAGTTAGTAGTTTTTAACGGAGTGAAGTGTGCTGAATTATTATTACTTGAAAATAATATATAATTATATTGCTGTTTGCCTATGCTAGAACTATTTTGAAAAGTGCGCCACAGCAAAGCGGAAATCTTTCTTTCCTTGTTTAATTCACCTTCTTACTTTTATGACGCTATGTTTTAAACTAGCGACTCACCCTCGCTTCACTCGGGTTCGTCCCTGGATACTTTTTTTTTGAGCGGAACTCTAATTCTTTTGTTTAAATAAAAGTAGCCTATATTACTCCCTATAACATCAGTTACCTTCCACTGAAAGTCCGTCAAAATCAGTCCAGCCGTTTCAGAGATTATTCGGAACAAACAGACAGACAAAAAATTTTAAAAATGTGTTTTACTTATGAGTACCGTTTATGATGTCATATGCATTTAGTAAAAAGGTTTATTTTGACATTACAAACAGACACTTCAATTTTATTTATCTGTATAGATGTATAGATTCATATACTTGTTTTCTGTGGCGCCTCCAATTTCATGCTTGTCAGCGGTCACTTTTTATACTAGAAATAGTTCGCCTTAGTTCTACTCTCCATATCTCTTTGGTACAGCATGGCACGTCAAGTCAGCCTTAAGCCACAGATTAAGGAGACTGCCTCAAACCGCGATATTGCCTGTCCTGTGTTTTAATATTTTAATAATTTTACCTATTAAAACGCAGTATTAGGGAATAGTATTTGACTTTAAGTATTTTAGGTAGTATGAATTGGATGAAGCAAACTAACTAATATGCAGTAAAATTTATAAATATTGTAAACTAAATGGTCTTTTACAAGCAACTACAAAACATCCTACAAGTTAAACTGCAGTAAAGTTATTAAATACTGCATGTCTTTTAGTTTTTCAGAAGAAATTACAAAATCCCCCACAAGTTAATGTGCAGTATGGAATGTTAATACTGCACTTTAATTAGGAATATAAATAAAAAATATTTTTTCTTAACCTTTGCAGTATAATCAATTTGTATAGAGTCGAATAATACTGCATTTTAATAAGTTCTTTCTTGAATCTTCTAGAACAAACTACTATTTTAAGTGCCACAAAATATGATAAAACACTGCAGTTTAGTTAGGAAACAGAGAAAAATCTTGTGCAATATTAATTGTACTGCGGTTTAGCTGGTAAACATGGAATATTTTAACAGATTTGTGATATTTTTGCTGTTACACCTTCCGAAAAAACATTAAAATAAAATACTTTTATTAGCGCTATAGAAAAAAGAATTAATTTGACTGATAGCTACTAAAATGGGGATTTAGAATATATATTTAACTCAAAACCGACCAAAATGTCTATTACTGCACTTTAGGCTCAGGTGGGCAGATTTGCTGTGCCAATGATCTCGGGTTTGAGTCTCTTTGCTGGAGGCATTCATTTTTGTGACGAACACGAACGTTTGTAATCCAGTCATGGGTGTTTGATTAAATATAATATGTATGTATTTAAAGTAATATACGTGTAGTGTATCAAGTACCTGGTATCCACGCCCCCCGCCCGCAGAGTACACGGAGCTGTCGGCGTCTACGGTGCAGCAGCGCGTGTCGCTGCCGTACGCGGGCGGCGCGGCGGCGCTGCGGCACGCCGTGCTGCGCGTGTGCGGCGCCGCGGTCTTCCTCAGCGAGGCGCGCTGGCGCCTCTACGGCTGCCTCGACCTGCTCGTCGACCTGCCCGTCGTCACGCTCGAGGTACGCACGCCCGGGGCTCCACTCCCGGGGAGGACTGACTTTACTTATTGAGTATTTCCATCAAGAATGGTACGTGTCACTTCACTTTAACTCTCACCGCGAGTGTGAAGTGTGAATGTGACAAACATAGAGTGTACACTGTGTGTATTCTCACACAAATACTCGCGCTGTACTATAACATTTCTTGCAGTTGTTTAGTTTCACTGACTTATTACTTATTCGATTCTCTTGTTAATGTCTTCAAAGCGTGTCTGTTAAACACAAATTACTTCACCAATGCCACGTAGAATTGAGAAGATACGAGGGAGGTTGGTTGGTAAAATAAGATTATTAAACCAACAAATGATATAACAAATCCATGGTATTTACAATGTATTTATATTTTACTGGCGACTTACCTTCGCTTCGCTTTGTGTGATATGTTTCTAAGTTTTAATGATTTAGGAATACATAAAAACGAACATCCAAAAATAAACGTTTTGCGTCAGGAACCTTTGCATGCGTACGTCTTCCGTATAGAGAATAACACAGCAGAGTTTCATCACAACTAAATTAATGGTTAAAGAATGCATAGAGGACAAACATACGTACATTCATTTTTGTTGGTTAGAATCTAATCAGTATATATATATATATATATATATATATATATATAATTGCAGTGGCAGGCGCAGCCCGTGACGGACATGTACGCGGACGCGGTGGCGGCGGCGGTGCTGGCGGCCGCGCCCGCCGCCGCGCCGCCGCCGCTCGCGCCCAAGCTCGACCGCATGCACTTCAAGGTATAATATACCCATTCATATATGTAAATTAAAACATATTTACTAACAAGTATCTCTCCAAAAAGTGACATATGACGTTAAGTCAAACCAAAGAAATTCAAACATCGAAAGTTCTAATTGTCTTACCACAAATGCGAACCAACGCACACCACATATAGTACTTTTTTATACGAAATACGTGCGTTTTAATTTTGTCGTCCAAAAGGCAAGGAACAAAAGAGATATAAAAAAATTATGTTCTTCTTTTTAAGGACACTTTTGATATGTTAATGTGTATTTTAAGTTTTTGTATATCAATGGTTATATTAATAAAATTAATTTTTAGATATCAATAATTCCATAGTAAAAATTGTTTCCGTAAATTGATCATATGAACAAATAAGCATGGAGGCAACGATATAATAGCTTGGTATAGAAGGTACATCGAAGTCGACTCATTATCAGTCTCATGATAAGGCTGACGAGCCGAGGCGACGTGATCATCCACGGAGTAAAAGCATGGCCATGGTTCAAAAGTACTTGTAATTTAGTCTAATTGAATAAACTGTAATTACAAATATGTTTGTTCGAAAGAACCACTTAACTCTACAGCAGTATCAAGTGTAGCTATTTATTGGAATATCCACAGATCAGAAAAGCACTAGATACACAATCAGGGACAAAAAATATCCTCACCGTATGAGCGCTCATTTGAATATTTAAGCGTGCTTTTTTTTGTGTAAAAATTTAATATTTAAGCATTGCATTTAAGGTTCAATTTACATTGTTGTATATTTATTTTAACTGGAATAATTACCTAAACACAATCGGTGACAGTTTTAAGAGAACTTTTGCATGGGATTGTGTATCTAGTATTTTTTTGATTGATGGGAATATGTATCTATACAAATGAACTTTCTATACCAAACAAATTGTGATTCCCTTTTTGTATTGAAGCTAAGCATTTTTCCTATATAATAAACAATAGTAAAGCTAATATGTGTGTGCAGGAGTGCGTGATCGAGATGTTCCAGGAGATGTTCGGGGAGGACGCGGTGCCCAAGATGTTCAAGGGCGACAAGCTGCACGTGGCCGTGGCCGGCCGCCGCGCGCACATCGACCTGCTCTCCATGGTACACATACTACATTTATCACTCATTATTTTTACATAATACTTTCTTATATTTATGCGAATATTTGACATCTATACTAATATTATATGTAAATGTGAAAGTTTAGACGAATATTTGGATGTTTGTTACTCTTTCCGCCAGAACGGCTGAACGGATCTTTATATACCGGAAAAATGTACTTACAAACTTTCACATTTATAATATTAGTACAGAGAGTACAGATTAATAGGATTCTTAAATCCTAGAGATATTCATACAACATAATATACGATAAACTTGATGTAAACGTGCCGTGTCGGGTGCAGGAGGTGTCGTGCCCCGAGGACGAGGGGCTGGAGCGCACGGTGCAGGCCGCGCTCAGCAAGCTGTACTCCGCCCTCGCGCCCGTCAAGGCGCCGCCCCCGCCTATCCCGCCCACCGCGCCGCCCAACCCGTCCACCGCGCCGCCCAGCTGAGGATAATGGTCCACGAATACCTACTATTCTATGTTTGATGGCTTTTGGGCGTGTCCGCTGAATAAAGTTGTCTTAAGTGTAATTCAGTGTTGAATGAAATGTTTCATGTGTCAGATACTAATGTCTATATTAAGTTCCCTATGGCTATCTATTTGTAAATTTTTATTGAATTCATATTAAAATTTGATTATTATGAGACTTATTAAAGATGTGTTGACAGAAGATGGCGCTAGTGTAGTTATTTTTGAACAACTCTCGTATTAAGATTAAAAAAAGACATAATGCACGATTGATTTTGTTACATATTACACATGTCATGAGTTAATATTAAAAATAGCTAAAACCTGACCAAAAGTAACTTATTTTATAAAAGTACAATAAGTAATAAATCAGGGTAAGCATTTCTGATACAATATGAAGTAAAATTGGATTACTCACTTATAATAATTAGTAAGCTCACTTAAAGAAATAACAAATAATGCCCAACGATAGAAACACTAAATCTCATATTGCTTTCAAAGTACTGTATTTTTTTTGTAAACAAAGGAACATTTAGTTTTTTCATACGAAAGTCATTTACCATAAACTATCGCCGGATTTGTGTATCATAAGGTGCTTGTAAGTGGCTTCTCCATCCGAACATGGAGAAGCCACTTACAGCCCCCCGTCTAGTAATGACCGTTTTCAAAAACCTATCTCTCTGCAGTTTTCCTTGTAAAAGAAATGTGAACTCCATACAAGTTATATTAAATTCAAAAAATCTAGTAAGTAGAACCGTAGATGGACAGATTGTTGACACCGCGGTAATACGACGTGAAGTCTAATATGATTGTTATTTTAATAATAAATTATGTAAATAATTGAGATGCTGTTTTAATTTTTCTACATTTAGTTTCGTTATGAAATAAAATGATGACAATTACCAAATATGCAAGGCCGAAAGAAAATTTAAGAAAAATGTTTTATATTATCAGTTATAACTTTGAAGTCCATACTTAATATTATAAATGTGTGTTTAAAAAGGGTTACATACTTTTATGAGTTTGTTTGTTTGTCCTTCTTTCACGTCAAAACAGTGACGGATTGGCGTGATTTTTTTGTATGAAGATAGTTCGAGGGCTGGAGAGTGACATAGGCTACTTTTTACCGCGGAAAATTCTTTTATTCCCACGTGAAAACACGTTATAATACAAACCAAAAAAATATTTGTGATAACCTTCAGTACAAGTCGAATCTGTACATTAAATATTTTTTGGAAAATCTAATTGAAATAGACATTATTGATACAGAGTCTGAATCTCTAGTTTTAAGAATTTTTGTCTGTCTGTCTGTTACCGAACGAAGCAGCGGGTTCTGCTAGTAATTTATAAATAAAACGATAAAATGTGGTAATTGAGTTTATTTACAACGATTAATAATGTACAGTCTTAGTTATTGAACACTTAAGATCAAATAATAAACCTAAAAATTGGCACCGCCATCATCATAAAAACAAAGTGTTTGATGACATATTAACATATTATACTTTATATTCGGTTATTATTCTTCAATTAATCCAAAAGTTTAGTTTAAAATGTCGAAACGATTGGGTGAAGCGTGCTGTGTAAGTAGTCAGGATGTGAGACGCGAGGAACCGTGAGGAGTTTGTGGGTATGGGAAAACGGGACTTCCTAGGGAGTAGGAAGATGAGTATAGACTAAAGAGTATAGTCTACTTATCCATAGTCGTTTAACGAAGCCGGAAGGAGGTGAATGTCGTGATACCGAACGTTCTACTTACTTTTATATGACAATTGGGAAAAAGTTTTATGATTGACTGATTATATCTTGACACGAGATAGCACTTCTGAGCTTTAACTTCGAAATCGTTCGCCATTAAAATTGAAATTATTGACACTTGTTGAATTTGATAGAATTTCCTTCAGAATCAATTGGCTACTGCATACATTTTTATGCCGGTAAATTTTATGCTGCGACCAGAACGAGAGTGATGGTGATAGAGAGTGTATTTGTTTTTACGTGAACGTGCTTTATAATATTTCCTGCGCCGTGGGCTATATTATTATGTTGAAAATGAGGAAACGAGATGACAGTATGATGATGATGAGGGAAGGAGCGGTAGGGGGGAAGGGGGAGGGGACGCGGCCGGTGCCTAGTTGGCCTTGGAGTGGCGCTTCCAGAAGCGGCGCACGTCGTCGTGCGAGGCGCGCGTGAGCACGAGCGTGCGCGCGCGCTCGCTGGCCCACGTCACGTAGCCGGCGCGCGCCGCGTAGTCGCGCAGCACCACGAACTCCGCCTGCACGTACATACATACTACATACACATTACATATTTACATTTATTGTCTAGTTTTGTGTGTCTACTGTGTTACTTTTTTCAAACTTAACCCGCTGATCCGATTTACATAAAATTTAGTATGGAGATAGTTTGAGACCTTGGGAAGGATTCAAGATAATTTTTATCCTGGAAAACATCCTTTAAAACTTACACCCCGTAAGTTTGTATGTGGAATCAATCATACACACATCACAACCGTGAGTGTATTTGTGCGTGTGTGCGTGTGTACCTGTGAGAGGAACTGGTTGTATATGATGCCGTCGGTGTATGTGAAGCGGTTGCGCTCGCCCTCCCACAGCCGCACCTGGTCCACCACGGTGGGCGGCAGCGCGCCGCGCGACCGCACGCCGCCCGTCTCCGACTTCAGCATCTGTTACACACGAAGATTATCATCGAAATAAGTTAAGAAACTTATTTTTTAATATATTTTTGAATAAAGATTTTTTCCATATTGGAGAGTAAAATATATATGTACGGTGCAACCGTAGCATATTACAATTTAACATTTTACTCGTCACGCGTAATTCATTATTATTTTAATTCATAAAAACCAAGTTAGTTCGCGTATCAAGTGTTAATTCCAAAGGTCTTTCATTCTAACAATCTAATAGTGTATTAGTTTATTGTAGTGTAATAAGTGTATTAACAAGAACCGATACAAAATATTTATATCATATTTTTATAAAATGTGCTGGTGGGTTAGGTTGGGTGTGCTTCAATACCTATCGATTTAATCTTTAACGTTCAGTGATTTTCGTTTTAAAGTAAATTTTCGGCAAAAAAAATTTTTTTGTAAAAATCAGACTTTACATTAAACTTCGCAAATACAGCTGAAATATAGACCCTATATCATAGTGGGGTCATTCTACCATTATAATATTTTTTGTCAGAATTTTTTAAAGTCTAAATAAACATATAATGCTCTGGAGAACTGCACTGCGTCAGTTTAAAAGAATACATCTTATAAACATTTATCTAAGATATAAATGAAATGTATAGGCCGTAGGGATTATTTTAAATATAATACCTTAGAGACATCTAACACCTCAGTCTCTCCCGTGACCATGAATGCTGTAAAGCATTCGAAACGTCGAGAACCAAAAATCAAAATAAATTCGCGAAAAAATCCGAAAAGATAGTTTTATTTAAAATGTCAAGTATTCGCGTAAATCTAAGAAAGTATTATCCGTAGGGATTATTATTCATAAATTGGTAGTGTTTTTAAAAAAAGTAGAAAATAAAACAGCAGTATAAAAAAAATTAAGGACTAAAAGTTAAAGATAATTTAGTAAATAATATATAATAATAAATATGTTGGGACATTAACACACAGTACCATCTAGTTCAATGGTAAGCTACGAGGCTTGTGTTATGGATACCGGATAGTTGATACACTACACATATATAACTTGAAACACAGACATATTATAAATATAAACATCCATGACTGGAGTACAAATATTCGTGCTCATCACACAAATGAATGCCCCCAGTGGGATTCGAACCCGCGAGCGCTGGCAGAGCAAGCAGGGTCACTACAAACTGAGCCAAACGTCGTTGAATGTCGAATAGTATAGTGTAGTGTAGTGGGGGGTGTGGGGTGGGGGGTGTGGGGTGCGTGCGCGTGCCTGCGGATGCGCGTGCTGCTCCAGGTAGCGCACGATCTGGCGCGCGGAGATGCCGCCGCGCAGCGCCGCGCGCACCGACTCGCGCGTCAGCACGCCCACCACCACGTTCGGGAACCTGCCGCATCATTGTTCATATACTATACTTATAAAAATTAAGGATTTATATTACACTAAAAATATTATTTTTTTGTTTTCTAAGTTCACATTGAAAATTTTGAGTTTAGAGATGCAACGGATCATTGTTTTACCGGCTGAATATTTAGCCCCTAGTTACGTGACGACAATTTTTCCGTCACGACTGGAGACAAAAATTAGAGGTCCTTCTTCTATTAAGAAAAATAAAATGAAAATTAATTTTCATATTTTAATAATTATTATTTGATTTCCTCGCTTTTTTTTCTTGCAGTTAATTAAAGAAACATCGTGATTTGAATATATTTATATTCAACTGGATATTGTGTTACTATCCTATATTCAGCTGGATAATAAATAGCCGCATAGACCATAATTATAATATATCCATTATATCTTTAAAACATTAAATTCAAGCTATCGTTTATTAAGGTTTACCGTTATGAAAAAATACTTGCAACTACCAAAACGAAACCCAAACCACAGCGGACCTGTACACGAGCTCGGTGAACAGCCCTAGCAGCGCCACCTGCAGGCTGCTCTGGGTGTACGCGTACACGCGGTAGTTGGTCTCCACCACGATGTAGCCGGCGGGCCCCGCGGCGCCCGAGGCCCCCGCACCAGGCCCCCCCGCGGCCACCGGGGCCCCCGCGCCGGGCCCCCCCGCCGGCGCGTCGTCGCGCACGCGCGCCATGTGCAGCGCCAGCCGCGTGGGGTAGAAGCGGCCCGCCTTGCGCTGCCGGTACATTACATTATATGCGTCAAATATGTATGAACTAATGATTTACTCGATATCACTCAGGTGCGTCAGCTTTTTGTACCTTTTGTGGGTTGTAACACATTTTATATTTATCGCAATAAAAATGGCACTCAACGGTAGCTAGTAGTAGCGGTAGCTACCTAAAGTTGAAAGAATTTTCAGTATAAAATCAGTACTTTCAGAGAGTAATTCCTACATACAAAACAAACTTACAACCTTAACCTCTTTATATTGTTAGTATAAATAAGTCCATCGAGGGTAAGTACACTTGCTCGACTTATCATCTCATACCTAGGTGCCTAACTCTATCTTATGTATCATTCCAGGTCACAGTCTATAACTATATGTATATAAAATTTCATCTAAATCCATCCAGCTGTTCCAGCATGAAGGAGTAACTTACATAATGAGATAATAGTGTAATATTTTAATTCTTTCATGTCCCACTCTTGAATAAGCCTATGCCTGACCTCAGTGCAAGAGACTCGCACCGAAGTCCACTACGCTAGCCAAATGAATTTTTTTTTAAAATTGTACTATACAAAAATTGGCACCAATATACCATATAATTAAATTATTAAATTAAAATTTCATTTTCTATTATAAAATAACCTTATACAACTTACAATATTATATTTAAATATTTTTTATTTTTTTCATCTTACTAACCTTTCTTTGATAAACAAGCCCAAATTCTCTCAAATGTTGTAAAAACACTAACATATTGTTGCTCATGCCCTCAGTGCTGTAATCCTGGAAACAGATTTGAAATATTTTTTTTATCCATCATACAACTAAAATATTTACTATGAAATATATAAGATTATTAAAAATAATCAATATATATTTAATATTTCAAAAGAAATACATAAGAAAATATTAATTAATAATTTCCAACCTTTCCAAGTGTACTAAAACTGAGCTGATATAAGAAGGCGAGGCACTCCGCTGCACTGAGACTGCGTTTTTCAGCTGTGTGCAAATAATGTTGTAGGAACAACCACACCTGGTGCAAAAAATATTTTTTACTGAAACACTTCAAAATAGGAATAAATAACCAAATATAACATTTTTGAATAAAACATAACATTATAATATACAATCTGTGTGTGTTCATTTTACCTGTTTAGCTGTGCTAAGAAGTAAAAACTGAAAGCCAGCTCTCGTAATGACTGCAGATCCATCTTCTGCATCTCTGTAAAATAAAAATTTTAGTTTAAAAAAAAAACAAAATACATTTCTGACATTTCATAAGTCTTCAGATCCCATTTGCTAAGGTAATTATTGTTATTTATATTATTAAAAGAATATATATTTTCCTATATGTCCTGTTGAGATTCTCTTGCCAGTTGTTTTAGGACCGAGGCATCTTCTTTTCGAAAAACCAAATATTTAGTACTCAACAAAACAAATAATATACTCATACTTAAAAGTACTAATAGAAATTAAAAAGTACCATCATCCCACTTTGAGCACTATTAGATCAGCCTGATGTCCAAATTATTGTATTGCTATCCCGACTTAGCGAACATGCCAGCATGGCAGTAGCAATTGATTTCCCGGAAACTAACCATGGAGGCGTTAAAATACTTACAAAATTTTCAAATACAACAATTTGTATCTCATATAATTTTTTATATATCTGATAATTACATTAGTATATACCTAATTTAAACCAAATTTCAACATACCTTGTCATAAGTCCTGCATGTAACAGTATACGAACTGCATCTGCACTTATACCTTCTGTCTGTGCAGATCCTACCATATAATGGAGGACACACTCCCACCTCTCTGTTGCATATGCATCTAAGAATGCTATGTCTCTTGCTTTACCATCTGGTTCTAATGATGATGATAAGCTCCAAGGGCGTCCACTATAAATTAAAAGTTAATATTTTTAATTAGCTTCTTTGGCATATTTTGTGTATTAAATTGTAAAAAGCATTCAATTAATATTATTAACTTAAATTAATAACTCTAGTACTTACCCTCCAAGTAATGCAACTTTTAAATTTTTCTTGAAGGATTGGGAAAGAATCCAGCCAGGTAATCCACCAGGTATTGGGGCTTCTTGCCATACTGATAATTCTGAGAGAGCTTCACATGCTTTACTTTGTTCCCTTACAAAAAAAATAAAGCATATAATTTTAATGTTTCTTAAATATAAAATAATATATTCACTTAAAATTACAAATTATTTAAATATAAACAATCCATTCCTTTTTAATAATTTGCTTTCAAGCCGCCAATTGAGCACAATTTATTCTGGCTGTGTCACTTATTCATAAAGCCCCTTCACTGGCCATAAGTGAATGTTCCACTTGTTAAGAGGTAAATTATCTGTTTCATTTTATAATTTTAAATTTCAAACAAGTTATGAGAAAATTCATACTTAGCATGTGTTTGTGTGACCCATGATGCAACCACTGCTTGTGGTACCGGTTGTTCTACAAATAACAGACGTATGACAAAGTGTCTTGCAAGCTCCGGAAGTTCTCTGATAAATAAAGAAAATACACAAATTATAATCACTTAGGATATTACAACTTCTAAAAAAGTTATAAGTTATAACCTAATATATTTATGGAAAAGCCTACTAAAACACTTTGTTAATATACCTACCGATAAACTGCAAGACATATCGTAGGATAATTATACAATGTTTCTAAAAATTGTTGTGAACGACTTTTTAAATACTCGTGAAGATCTTTGCACTCTAATGTCGGTGATGGGTTTAAATTTATTGAAGATTTAGATTTAGAGGACTCTGACATATTTGAAAATTTAGGAACTCATGGAGATGATAAGAAAACAATGTATTTTTTACAATATTAATGTAAAACATTCGATATTACTTCGGAGCCTAGCCTCCAGAAATCACAATGTTGACAAGCAAATAGGTACCGTTTTGTCAAGTGCAAAATGACAATGACATTTCCATCACATTATACACAAAGAAGATTAAAAATGTAGCATTGAGGTATTTTAGCTTTTGTATGATAAAAATTGATAAATTTATTTAAATATTATTTACTTAAATTAAAAATATAATGTATTAAATAAAATGTTTTATGTCTGTTACTCTATTTTTATTATAAAATCTGATTCTACTCTTATTTCAAAATATGCTCGCATGTCATAAAGTGAGTGGTAAAATTAAATAATAATATACAAAGTCTATTAGTTATTTTAAAACATTAAAATAATTTTAAAAATGTTATTTTGTGAAAAAGTTGGTATTACACTTGTCCGGAAGTTTGCTAGATTTAATCAAATATTTTCATGTATATTTTACCGTGTGAAAATTATAAGTACTTATTTTCTTTTCAATTTACCATAATATATTATCTAGTTAAATATTTTAAGATTTTAAAACATAAAGCTATTTTTTTACAATAATATTTATTTCAAGGTATATGGTTCAAATTTTCTATTACAATAAACAAAATATATGGTTACTGAATAAGCCTACACCAATGGGATTTTATCATCTCTTTTGTCCCATACAAAAGAAAAAAGTACACGCACACGTGTTTGATCGGAACGCACACTGCGATAAGTGCGCGTGTGTACTGCAGTGCGGACGGGCGCGCACACAGGCGTGCGACAGCGAGTTCACCGCATTCATTCTCGTCGGCAGATGGCGGATGCAGTAGACGCCTTCCGTCAGTCGCGCATAGACAACTCGTCGAGTACAGTGCTACTCCGTTTCGTTCAGCACCATTTTGTGTATACCACTCGAACGGGACATTGTGTGTATGTGCTCCGTGAAAAATCGTAAACCACGAACGGTGTTCGCTGCAGTTCAGTGTTTCACTTTCGACATGCCCGCGGAGGGATCGATGCGATATCTCGGGCGCTCGTAGAAACCGCGCCTCCGTTGTGAGCGAGCTATCGTCGACGTAAAAAAAGTTGACACGGGAAACATGTCCGGGCGGACCGCCGACGCGGATGCGAGCGAAGGGTTCGAGTTCGAAATTCGAAAGCGGTCATGTCATCGCCTCTCGGATTTCGTCTAAGTCACCGTCCGATGTCAAAATCGTGCACTCACCGCGAGCGGCGAGCGTCCGGAGCGAGCGGACAATGCGATCGTTGGTAGTGTGGTGGGCGGTGGTGTCGGCCTGGGCGCTGGCGGACGCGTGCTCCAGCTCCATCTCGAAGCGGCCGGCGCGGCCCGCGCGGCCCCAGCGCCCGCCGCCGCAGCCGCAGCCGCGCCTCAACGTCACCTTCCCCATCTTCAAATGCGAGCCCGACTACTCGGAGTACTACTGCCTCAACGGCGGCGCCTGCTTCACCGTCGTCATCTCCGACAGCCCCATCTACAACTGCGAGTGTCGCAGCGGCTTCGTGGGGCCGCGCTGCGAGTTCAAGGACTTAGACGACTCGTACGTGCTGACGAGCCGACAGCTCATGATGGAGACGGCGTCCATCGCGGGCGGCGCCACGGTGGCCGTGTTCCTCGCCATTCTAGTCTGCTTCGGCGCGTGGGTGCGCCTGCACCGGCGCGGCAAGGCGCCGCGGTCACCTGAGCGCGGGCTGGTGCAGCTGGTGGCCGTGGCGGCGCCGCGCGGCCGCGTGCAGCTCTGCCCAGCGCCCCCGCAGCCCTAGTGTCCCACACAGACTCTGCCAGAGCGACCTGTTCGTACCCTATCTCGTGTACATATAGTTAGATCGTGTTAAGTTATGCGGAGAGACCGGGAGATATAAAATTTATGTGATAATTATTTTATGAAGCTCATAATTTATTTTGATGTCATGTACATACCGAATTCGAGCCACTCTGAAGTGTTGCGTTTGTCAAATTTCAGTCCTTCCCTGGTGTTTGTGAAATGTAATCTGTATTATTTTGTTCTTATTCAGTGTATTGGACTGGTGAGATCAGCGATAACTGTGTACCTAATGCTACTCGCTTCAAGTAGAGCTGTTATGTTGTATATTGTTGGCACTATATCGCAGGATGTGGGAGCTTTGCCCCTCTCACACAAGTTACTTATTTCATTTACTGTTTGTAATATGCTAAATTCTTATTGGAGTTAAAATGAATAAACTTACAAATGTAATTTACTATTAATTGTGTTGGAGGGGCAAAGAGACCGCTGGTGCCTCAGGTTCCACTGCATGTTATTGTTTTGTAATGTAGCAAATGTTTAGTAGAGGGCCTGGCATGTCGGTGCCTCGGAGAGCCCGCTGTGCCTGCACTGCAGTACCGTGTAGCCCTGTCCCTGCTTGCAAGGCACGGAGAGGGCTAGACGGGGCTGTATTGCTACCCGCTGTGGATCAATGTTACTTGTATTTATAGTTGTATAGAGTAGATGTGATGAACTGGGATGCTGTGAGGCAGCGAGTAGCGCAGTTCCTACCGCACATTCCATCGCGCGAGTGTTTGGTGTCAGTATTATTTTGTAATACGAATGTTAAGCCGGCAGCTTTACTTTATTTTTTAATTTATACCTGATATCCCGCGGGGATAGAGCTGTATTATATTCGTTTAAAGGCTGAGACGTGCCCTTGATGAGAAGGCTTCTTGTAATTTGTAAATATAGGCCGCGTAGGTATTTATTAGATATTTATGAACGTTTATTTATTGACTGCTTATTTAGTTAAACTCGATGATCAGCCGCATCCGACACGTCTAATAACTAACGGTTGCATCTAAACCTTGCTAGTTCGGCCTCGCGTATCATTGTATGATGTATATTCCCTATGTAATCTCATTATGAATCTCGTTTGTTGTAAAATTCGTAAAACATTGGATGGTGTGTAAACCCACTCTCGCAGTGTAAACGGCCTCGCTCCTTTTCTCGTTTCCGATACAAAAGCTCATTGTTGACGTCTCGCTAAGCAATAAATCCGTGTGTTTCTGTCTGTCTGTACATCCTTATTACCTACTTATTACTTGCACATTCGGCTTACGCTGTGAGAGTGAATTAAAAAAATAGCAAATCTATTTTGGATTTTATGTCATTTAATGTGTATTTGGGAACTGATAAATTGGTGTTGTTTTATTCTAGACAAATATGTAGTTTGTTCCATTCCGATGGCTGTTTCATGTGTTTGACGTATCAGTGATGTCACCAGCTTCTCAGTTCCCAAATCGATTTAACGTTTCGAGTCGAGAGTCCTATGTTGTATCGATTCATATGAGATCGTTTATATGAACATTCCAAAGTATATGTAAAATATTACCTACATCACTAATAATTTTGAAATATCTGTTAAGATGCTACATTGTTAATTATACAGTTTTCTATTGATCATTTGTTAAAAGAAAATTATACGAAACTAAATCCTTAAAAATGTTTTTCATTGGTCACGCTCGCCTAAAGTTCACCTCCTACACTTTATCGCCATGTATTTTCCATGAATGGACAAAGATGCATTGAATTCTACAATGTAACGAATCTTCTCGGTCCAAATATTATATACTTGCCGTGTGAAACAGTTTGTTATTACTGATTTTGAGGAGCGGACACGGAGTGAGAACAAACGTACCTACTCGCTATTCGATAATCATTTTAATCTTGACCTCCTTTTACATAAAGACTGAAAGATTCCTAACTTTTCGCTAATTGAAGTACATCGACCGAACTGGTTTCTATCAATAATCTAAGTTGTGCAAATATTTTAATGAGAGGTTGAGCAAACGCTACGTCACAGCCGCATACGCATTGCCACCCACATATCGGTTTTCTTTCACTTGTGCAATACACCTGTTATTTAAATTAGCTCAAAGATACCGATTTCCACGATTGAAACTGAAAGCAGTAATCGATATCAACTATCACTTGACTAACATTTTTGTTGACATAACATAATGTTATGGCAATCGCTAGTCTTTGTCAGTTTTGCTAGGTTTATTTTTAAAATTTTGCCTTTCTGCCGGTTTTGTAAATTGTAACGATTCTATAGAAATAAACAACTTTAGTTATAAATAATAAAGTAATAAATTGATTAAATTTAATTTAAAATGTAATTTGACAACAGTATTTCGGTTTAACACGCAAAGTTACGCATAGCCTGAGATTGATTTTGGGTCGCACGCAGTTGAAAGCTAACATTTCTCTCATTGAAACCGAGCGTAGTTCTGTTTTACGGATCGAACAATGCGGAATAAAGAACGCCTAGTACAGAGCCTAGAAAAAACTTGTGGCCATTGAGAGTCGGGTAGCATATTTTTATGAATAGGTACCCGTAGACCGTAGACCGTAGACCGGTCCGCCACCGGCGTCGCACGCATGGGTTCATTGAATGAGTGCCCGTTCGTTTGTTGACATTCCCCGAAAACCTGCCCCGCCCGGAATAGCGCGTCCCGATGGATGGACAACGACCGAAATAGACGCTTAGTAGATTAAAGTTTTTGGGGTTCAATACTTAACTTACTCAATCGGCATCGACAGGATGTCGACGCGCCGTGAATGCCATTCAATGAGGTTAAAAAAATAGCTGTTATTCCAAAAATTCGTTTTAATACTTTACGCGCTTTTGATGTTCGTAAATTCTGTTCTGCTCGGTTTCTCAATGAGTGCTATTTGCTTAATAAGCGCACCCGCTTGTACATAACTCAGAAATTGTTTAATGGATTTTGACGAAACTTCTTCAATTGTATAGGTGGGATTAGTCCTAATTCACATAGTAAAGCAACAAGCTGATTATTTGTTACACAATGTGTAGTGATTTTACGGAATACCATTTATCCTTGCAATAATCGATGACTCCTCTATAATGTATGCGTGTAAAAAATAGAGTAGGTTATTCATTAGATAAGAGTTGTAATTCGTAAGACATTTTATGGCAGTTACGTTGGGATTATAGAATTGTTAATATTGTTTAAAGACCTTAACCCAGTCTTTGTCTACAGTTCATTCGAATTCCACAAATTTATTAATGGCATATATTAAAACAATGTCATATATTGTCGCACCATTTTATTGTTGATTAGTATGAAAATAATGTATATATGTTGAATAGTTTCATAACTTTGAGAAATACATAAATGACGCAAGTTGATTAGGTAACATTTTCTTTTATAAAAAACCTTACCACTAGTACAAACGAGTATAGCATAGAACTAACTGATTGAGCTATAAGTACGAGTATATGTAAGTTTATGTCCCCAAAATGTAATGTATGGAAAACAAAATATTCTGAACAATGTTGCAAAAATAGAATGGTGATCCTTATCTCGTTTTAACGTAACAAATAAAACACTAAGTTATTTGATTACGTCCGCGAGCAAAACTGTGAATGAATACATCAATTCAAGGCAAAACGTTCGGAGACATCTAGTAACAGCGTCGGCCAGTCTAAGCTGATCTTCCACCCCTCCGCATTCTGGGAAATACGAGGGAAGTGACGGGTATATGTTAGAGTTGCGAGGGTCTTGATCCTGGTCGTTGTTTTAGACGCAGCGTCGCTCTGCCTACACTTGCGTCGTTTATGGGCATCGGCCAGTGGTCATTGCGTCCAATTAACATGCCTACGTGCCGTCCCACTTTGTTATTATGCTCCGCGAAAATCTTCCTACTTCATTGACTCGGTCCGCACAATTTTTTCATATGGATTTACTTGTGAAATTTTTAAACTGGTACCAGTTTGTCGTGATTTTTCTCATATGTTAAATAAATATATAACACCAATACCTACGTATTTGTGTTGTCTTTTTTATAAAGAAGAAGATATTATAAATATATTGTACTCAGCAGTTGCATTTTTTCAATGATTCAATAATATAAATGTGTCGATTATTCAGACGGACAGTTGGGTGTAATTTTATTTAGTTAGCTGTACGAAGATATTCAATTTTATACCTTGTAACGTTACGTCAGCGGTGATAGTTGATTGTTCTCGTGGGCCCCATTATGTCGGCTTTTGAGCCCCTGGTTTGCGGATGTTTTATTGAATTATGCCACTTGGTTAATTTGGACATGATTTCATCATTAGCGCAAATGCCTCACAAATATAGAGCAATCTACACTTCCTCACTAATGTATTAATCCCGCCTTTCCGTTTGTCACGTGCCATTCATCCATCCACTAAATTATAATTAGGTTTTGTAACCAGATAGTCTCAACTATGAGCTGTAATTCTAGCCCACACATATTATGGGCATCCGCTAGATAAATGTCATTTGAAATTTTGGTATTCTTCAAAGCAATCATGAAATATGCTTATATATAAATTTTTTCTTCATGTTTTACTGATATGAATAAAAGTTAATAAAATGTTCATACAATTTTTGGAAAGTTGCTTATATTTTAAGGGGAATCTAATTTTCTGCTACAATTTTGTTATTTCAATTATTTACTTTTTTAACAATGGCACCGCTTTTTGGACAGAGAAAATTTTAGAAACCCTGCTTTTAAAGTTTTGTGAATTTGAAAATTTATTTGGGAAATATTTTTTTTAATATCATTAGCTATATTTTTGTTATAAGTACCTACATCTAATTATAAAAACAATGATTGTTATTCCATCTGCACTAAAGCAAAATTACCGCGAGTTAGTTACGTTAATAAATCGATTCAATTTGAACTTCGAGTGCTGTAAGATGTGGATGGGAGATTAAAACCTTAATGATTGTTCAGTGCCATAGACTAGTTTTTACCCCGGCATACCTTTCACCCGGCCAGTTATAAGGATAGAATATTGTCGAGTGCAAACCAGTCGTGTCAGTTTTTCGTCCTGCACCTGTGGTCGTCAGGTTGGAAGCCCTGAGCCCGTGCTTCCTGCGACAGATGGCGGCACGTGCGCGCCATCATAAAAACATCGCAATATAGATCACCTCCTTATGTGTAGTGCACTTGTCATAGCGAGCGCAATCTGGACCTACTCGGTTCTTGGTAGTCCGCCTTATACCTTTCATTATTCGTCATCTAAACCACACTAACAAAATTATTCAAAGTTCAGAAGCCAGTAGTCATCAAATGCGTCTATAAAATGACAAAGTTGATGATACCTACTTCAATATTTCTTACATTAACATGTAAATTTTGGCTGTTCATTAACATATATTGACACTAATTAGTAGATAATTATTAAATGTGATTGTGAGATTAAATAAACTCATACTCCAATTATATTCATTAAGTGAAACATGTATCATTATATTTAATTATAATAAGTTCTCTTTTTTCATTGTACTCTACGGCACGGCGGTTTTTGGTCCTTAAACGAGTTAGGTTCGAGGGTGGGCTGAAAAAATCGAAACGCACGTGTCACCTGCCTTTTATCTCGTCATTGTTTTATGAAGAGCCTGTCATCGGGCGTGCGTTGTTACCGAAAAAATCTTAATTGGTAGTCAAGTATATGAACGCACACTAATTAATTGTGTCAGGTATATATTATGTAGTTAGGTGTTGATCACGGCATCGGT